GAAAGATATAGAGAATATGAAGATGAACCAATGCCTGCAAATGTTCAGTATATGTACTCGTAAGAGATATTTTTATCTAATATTAAATGGACGCACAGAACTTAGCGAATGCACAGCAACCTGGACAACCAAACCCAGAGAATATTCCAAATGAAGTTAGAATACAAACTGCAATGGCAAACTATGGTCAAGTGCCAACAGATGTACAAATGCAAACTGCCATGTCAAATGACGCTGCGTTAGGTTTGCCACCATGGTATGCAAATATGAGATGGAAAGAGTTTTTATACAAACCCCGAAGTGGGATATAACAACTCTATGCAGATGACGCGAACACAGGAGTTGACCCAGAGTATGTTTTCTACCAGAGGAGAAATAGAATGTATGAGCTCCAGTTAAAGAATGCTATGGAACTCAGAAGGAAACGTAAGAGACTAGGTGGACATTAGATTTTTACATATAGTAAAATGGGTTTCTTTGGAAGAATAGGAAACTTCTTTCGAAATGTTGGAAGAGGTATATGGAATGGAATAAAAACCGTAGGAAGAGGAATTTGGAACGGAGTCAAAAATATTGGCAAAAAGTAGGTCAGTTCGTTGGTATTATACCTAAAGACCCTGAACCAGAAGAGCAAGCTCCTGTTATACAACAGCCTGAACCTGCACCACAGTCTAGTTGGCAACCAAATCCAACACCTCAACCGTATTAAAAAATCATATTTTTACCGTTCGATAGTAGTTGTATATGAAACTAAGTTCTAAGTAAAACGCGTGGTATAATGGAATTATTCTCTTTCTTCCATCTGTAGTAAACCATACTTGAAAGTCTGAAATACTTCCACTTGGTGGTTCGTATAGCTTTGTAGGTTTTTCGTAAAAGTCATTTGCCAAGCATAAAAAGAGTTTTGTGCACCAGAAAATGAAGCATGAACTATAATAGCATCTGAGTCGAAAACATCTTTAAATAAATATGGTTCATTCTCTTGCATATCGACTGTAAATATTTGCTAAAGGAAGTTCGACTTTCTGATTTAACATTCTTTGCAAATAATACCATGACATTGCAGTGAATTCTGTATATATTTGTTCGTCTTTCTTTGGATTGTCTTCGTAGATTTGAAATGACACTTGTGAATTTTGTTTGTCATATACAATTCTCACATAAAGTGTGCTCTCGGTATTTGCATATTCATCAGCATATTTTGCATAACATGAATTTATTTTATCTTCTATATTTTTTAACGCAGTCTGTAGAGAAGATGAAAGGTCAACTTGTATTAGCTCAATTTCTTCCCACATTTTTCGTTTCCCTTCAGATATATAATCTATATGAAACCTTACAATAAATGGAAAACTTTTATCTTCTACAGACACAAACTTCATTCTACGAAAGCCAATAGCTTTTGTGACAGATGGGTCTCTTAGCCATCTTAATGGGTAGTCAAAACGATAGCCTTCATGCTTTACGGTCTCTGTCTCAAACTTTTGACCGACATTAGTAAAAAGTTCATCTAATGGTTTAGTTGTAGCAACTCTTGAATTTTTCTTTTTCTATTGGAAGCATATTTTATCTAGAATAAAAATGTCAAATGAAACAGCGTCTATGAGAGAAATACAACACAACCGACAACTCATTGTGCAAGCTCTAAATAAGAACACAACAAACTTTTCAAAACTATTCTAAGATATCTGAGTCATTGAAAGAAGGAAACTTAAAACTGACGATAAACCCATTGACAGACGAGTTTCTGTTTCAAGACAGTAAGAACCATACTGTTTGTATAAATCCAACAAAAAGAACTTTAAACGAGAAACCTATAGATGAACTTCTTTTGAAGGAGATATGACAACAAAGCTGACAAAGAGTATGTAGATGCAACAAGAGACTATATTCTCGCATGGACAGATAGAACATACCCACAAAAACATCATACACATAACATCTATGACGTAGATGAACTACCAGCAATGTTAGATGACAAAGCAGATAAAACATATGTTGACAATAAAATGTCAAGTGAAGTGACAAGAGCTGACAAAGAATATTCTAAAAAGACTCATACACATACCATATCTGATATTACAAACTTACAAGAAACCTTAAACAGGAAAAGTGACGTTGGACATACACACGATTTCTTCGCAACTGTTGGTATAGAAAATATTGAAGGAACGGTTGAAGAAACTGGTGGGGATGTATTAAATTGGAAACCTCCTAACTTTCCACAAGGTTTAACATCGGAAGAAGACATAACAACGATGAGATACATTAGATGTAGAAATGTCTATGTCATGGAGGATGAAAAAAAAGTTAAATTCACTGCTCAAGATTTATATGATAAAAAAGCAGACAAAACAGAGCTTCAAACATTAAAGACAGAAATACTTCAAACATTATATCCTATAGGCTCTATTTACACGTCAATGAACTCTACCAGACCAGAAGTAGTACTTGGTTTTGGAACTTGGACTCAAATAGTCGACAGGTTTTTGTATTGTGCAAACTCTTCAAAGGAAACAGGCGGAAGTAAAACGATTTCAGGTGAAAACCTACCTGCACACAGTCACTACGTAGATTTAAGTACATCTCAAGCAGGTTGGCATAAGCATAAATTTTGGGATTGGCACGCCTTGAAAAAAGGTAAAGGATATGATGTTAAAGACGACGTTCAGTTTGCTATAAATTGTTACTGGAGTGACACTCAGGGAGATGGAAACCATACACATCGCGTTACAGGATATACACAAACAACGGGACAAAGTAAAGACTACATGCCACCTTACATGACAGTTTACGCATGGTATAGAATTGCTTAGTCGTCATTTTCAACTTCTTTAGCATATTCGTCAGGAGTTGTCTTATATTTGTTAGGAACTGTCTTTGAAAGTATACCACCTTGAACTTTGACAAGTTTGAAACGAGGTCTGACAATAGTAGTTTTATCTTCTGCTTGCAGTCTGTACATTTTGCCATGTTTGCCTAAAACTTCATAATATTCTCTTGTATACTTTCTTCTATTTTTACGAACACGAAGGTGAGTACCTGTCGAGTTCCCATTGTTGTCATAGTCAATAGTATTTTCATATGGGTCGCGTTTAGGTATTTCTATTTTACTTTGTCACCTTTCTTAAGTTTGAAGCCTGGCATTCTTTCTTGTTTGTCTCTTTTGACTAAACTATTAAATATATAGTCTTTCTCTAAGTCGGGGTTGTTTTTCATTTCTTCGGGGGAGTGGTTTCCCAAACCTTTTTGTTTACGGCTATTGTAAATATTTAAAACTTGTCTCATCTTTGCCATGGAGAAATGTCTATATTTGTCGTCATATGACATTTCATCTACCTCACCACCTTGTGGTTGATTTAAATCTCTTAAGATTTTTATACAACTGTCAATGACACCAAGAGCAGAATGGTTTTGGTCGACAATGAAATATTGGTTTACATTTTTTGAACGCAGATAGTTTTTAATATCGTCTGATTTGAAAGAACTTTCACAGTCAGATGTCAGTTTTGTTGGATGGTATTTGTCAACGAATATTGTCAAAGCTGCTAAGATATCTAAAATATTTTTGGACTGTAATGGTATGGCTTCACAGTATCTTGTGTTTTGACCGACAAATATTAGCCAGTATGGTGGTCCATCTTCTCTATACCTCGGAATGTTTCCAAGATATCCATAAACCAAGCATTTGGTGTTGAACTAAAGATTTTTATCATGAGTGCTTTCTTTGTTGCCTTAGAAACATAGGGGTCCTTGTTTGGATTCGTCATTTTTACCCTATAAGAAATGGGTTTATTTGGCGCATTAGCAGGAGTTGCATCCAGATTTTTGCCCGCAGTGGGAACAATAGCCAGAGGTGTATTTGGAGTTGGAAGGAAGATTTTGAGTACATTAGGTATACTTAAAGAGAAAGCACAACCTATTATACAAACTGTACAGAAAGGTTGGGATGTAGCACGAGATGCAGCAAATCTTATTCCAAATCCTGAAACAAGAGGAAAAGTTCAAGGATGGATGGACAATGTAGGAAGACAAGCAGGAAACTATTATAACAAAGCAAATGACTACTATAACCAAGCAGGACACTATATGGACCAAGGTGAAAGATTTTTTTATAACCATGCACAACAATGGGTAAACAATAACCAACCTCAACCGCCTCAAACGTGGGGAATGTAAAGTTTTTTACTGAGATGAAATGAACAATACAGCATTGAGACAAATGGGTTCAAGATGGATTTGTCGGCTTCCAGCAGTTACACAACCACGTGTTTGTCAAGTTCTTCCTATACCTCAGGAAGTTTTAGACCGACTTAAAAAACCTAAACAACCAGTTGAAAACAAAACAAACTAAAATTTTTACTGAGATGAAATGACCGAAGAAGTTGAAACGGTAGATTTGACACCACAAACAAAAAGTTCAGAACCATTGTCAAAACCTGTCAAAGAACTTACAGATGAAGAGAAAAATTCAATAATAGAAAGTGCCAGGTCTGGAAATACAAACCCTAACTACAAAGTCACTTTTCATAGAAATGGAACGGCTAGTATCTCAAAAAAGAAACAGACTCTCACAAATAAAATATTGAAGTCTGAAGGAGCTTTCGAGACAACAGATGGGAAGGTATTCTTCACTGACCAACAGTTCATTATAGAACATCTCATTGACTTAGAGTCGAAATATTCTAAACTTTACAACAAACACAAAAAGTTGAAAGGAAAACAAAAACAAATGGCATATGATATTTATGAAGATGTTGACGACACAACTGTTCCTGCAGGTGAGGTAAAGTCAGAGGAACCGAAAAGTGACGAAAAACCGATAGAAGAAGAGAAACCAAAAACTGAAGATAAACCAAAACCAAAGTTTAGTTTCCAAACTAAACCAAGTCAACCTTCATTAGCTGGTATGGGTTGGCGTCAAAGACTTATGGCAGCAGGCGGTTACGTAAAGTAAAGAAAAAACATTTTTTATTTTTATAAAAATGCCCCCATATAGAATGGATAGAAAATCTGCTAGAATAAAAGCAGAGTTAGAAAGATATGGTTGGAAAGTTTCGAAGAATTTTAAATATAGGAAGGGAAGACCCATAAAAGTCTATGACAAACTGGCTGGTCTTCGCTATGAAATGGACTTAGAAACAGCACGCGCAAACTATCCAAACAGATTAGAGAGGTTAGAAGAAGAACGTCTTATGGACATACCTTTCGATGTTACTGAGCCTCAAGTTGAAGGACACGACGGCTTTGCCAGATTCTACTGGAAACATGACGAACAATTGCATCCTTTGAGAAGGAAAAAAGGAAAAGGTGCTCCCATGGAAAGAACAAGATATGCATATGAAAAGTACCGTGAAGTTAGAAGTCAAATTACATCTGGTCGAACCTTTACAGTAAACTTTGACGAAGGAAAGAACAAAGAAGGCTTCATGGGAGTACTTGCTGCAATTCAAGATGGAAATAAGAAAGGATACAATCTCAGATTGACCATAACAGATTTGGACGGTCATATATACTATGCGCATGGCAATGTCACAACAGCTGCAATGCTTCTTGACGCTTTCAAGACTACAAAGAGAGAACAAATGGTTGACTCCGACTCAGACATTTTGAATGCAATTGAAGGAATTGCAAGTGTCAAGTTCGAATGGTACCAACCTAACCCTCAAGCAGTCAGACAACATGCTGGATACTTCCCGTTCATAAATAAGTCTGACATTAACTTAACCAGGTATGGAATTTACAATTCAATTGAAACAATTGTCAATGAACCTTGTATTCTTACATGTCTCAGGAACTCTGGTCTTGTTTCAGAAGAGAAAATGAAGTATCTTGAGTCATGTGTGAAGACAAGGTACATGCTCAGAGGTCAATTGGCTAAAATTGCACCGTTGGCAAATGTGAATATCCGAGTCAACATTCCGACTGAGAAAGGTTCTTCACATGACGACTATGTTGTTGACAAAGACTTACCATGGTTGAAGATTGTAATTGTCCACAACCACTTCATGTTGAACGAAAGTCTTACAAACCCATTGTTCGGAAAAGGCAAGTGCAACATTGTCAGAGCTGTAAACATTCTTTTCGAGAAAGGTTTGTTGGAACCAATTCCAGATGACAAGCTGACAGAAACTTTTGTACCAAAAGACGAAACAAACTTTTCATTGTTGGTAAGACCAAAAATTGTTCCAGACAAAGTTATAGCACAGAAGAAGTACACAGCTCCAAAAGGAGTTGGATTGTTCGGATACCAACCTGAACCAGAAGAACTTCCAATGAGGTTGCAAGAACTTCAAGATGCTATAAACAAACTTCCATTGAGGCATCCAATTGACGTCAAATTGTATTGGAGAGCATCTGAGTTAGGTCAGAAAATTTTATATGAAACAGGTTGCTTCGACGATGTTTATGAGATAACAGGAGAAGTTTCTCAGAAGATAAGAGACTCACTTGAATTTCCACGAACCGGACCCATTGGATGCGATAAGTTCGACTCATACGAAAAAATATACTATGTTGACCTTAACGCTGCATACATGAGGTTCGTCCAATATATTCCAACTGGAATTCCAAACGAAGATGGTGAGTTCCCGGGAAGGAACTATACAGTTGGAAAAGTCATACAACAACTCTATGATATTAGGAAAGCTTCAAACCCCAAACTTGCAATGACATTAAAATTGCTTATGAATTCGACATGGGGGTATTCCATTAAAAAACCTCAAGAGATGAAGAGTAAACATTATGAGAAGGTCGACAACTTTGTTGAAAGGTTCTCTCCTTTTGTTTTGAAATACGAGTTCACCGAAGGTCAAGGTGGCTTAGTAACCACAGTAAAACCTATTGTCGAACATTGGTCTTATCCACAGTTCGCAAAGGCAGTCCTTGACAACTACAACAAATTTTTCTCCGAAGTCAAATCCAAAGTCAAGGTTTACTATGAGAACATCGACGCACTCATGACGAACGAAGAAGGCTATAACAAACTCATTGAAATGGGAATGGTCGGTGAGAAGATGGGTCAATTCAAATTGGACAAAATTTTCACCGAAGTTCATGTAATATCGAAAAGGAAATATTGGGGTGTTAAAGAAGACGGCACAGAAATAAAACATTGCATGAAATAAAAAATTTTTATATTCCTTCCTAGCTAATTTCCGTTTAATTTCATGGTCGCCCTCGGAGTCTTTGAATCGGACAGGTCGAGTTACACCATTCTTGGTCTCAAACTCATATATAACCTGTTTGTCTGTATTTTCGTCGACTATGGCACGAGACACGAACATTGACCAAACGGACAAAAAGTGTCATTTCAGATGGTCACGCAGCCAATCGCATTCGAGCACTTCGAAGAAGCCTTACGTTCCAAGGGAGAGGGTGTCTGGTGCAAGGCAGAGGTCATGAGACTCTACGAGCAGTACATCCTCAATGCCTGGGAGGACAAATCGTCCTTGGATTGGCAATTCTACCAACTCCTCTGGGACGACCTCCTACGCAACTGGGATGACGAAAGAGTCCAATTCAGGGGTCAGGAACTACTTGTCCAAATTCTCATTAATTTAAGCTACTTAACTAAATAAACACCTAAATTTACTCGGGGTTTCCCCCTAAAATAAAATTTTTTTACTCTTAGAACCACTCGAGGTTCTCCTTACGGTTGTTGAGCTTGTCACCGTCAATGTGTCTGACCTTCGTCTTCTTGTTTGGATTTGGAACCCATTGCATACCGACAAGCCTTCCCATGGAAATTGTACCGTAATTTCGAAGGGTAAGGGTCAAGTGTCCCAAGTTGTTGAGGACTGGGGTAAGAACCTTGCCTGTCTCCTTGTTGCGGATTTGGTATGGGTAGGGTTGGGAAATTTCGTAAGCGTCATCGGCAACAAGGGTTGCCCAAACTTCCTCTTCTTCGTGTTTCTCTTCTTCCTCTTCTTCCTCTTCCTCTTCTTCGTGTTTCTCTTCTTCCTCGACAATTCCTTCTTCAATTCTGTGTTCACGAATTACGGTGTTGGAGGTTCTGTCCTTTCCGAGTACCTTCCAGATGGCGTCTATCTCTTCGAAGAAACGGTAGATGAGTCTGGCAAGGTCTCGGTTCTCTCTCGCGTAAATGCGCAAGGTTTCCGTCAAATCATTCAGGCATTTCTCATTGGAAGCTTGGTTCATGAGGACATCGGCTTTGAGCTTGGTCATCTCTTCCATAAGACTACTTTGGAGAGTCTTAACGGTGTTTGTCAGATGAGCTTTCAAATTCAAAATTTGAATTTGAACTGGGCGCTTGTCTGCAACATTGAAAGGACATCTGCCATTGTGTTCGGCTTCGGTGCTTGTTCGGACATCGAAAAAATGAAGTGGTTTGAGAATGACGGTTTTACTTCAAAAAGCTTGTTATGACGGTTAAGTCATACAACAAGTTAAAATAATATCTTGTTCTTCTTCTGAACGTTTGTTGTCTCTTCCGATAAAAGTTTCGAACATGAGAACCAAAAAACGTTTTTTGAGATTGCGGAAGAGTTCAGGCAAACGTTCATATTCTGGATATGTTGGGAGCAGTTCGAAACATCTGAGCTGACTTTCGGACAAAATTGGGACAATGTCAGAAAATTCATCTTTGGTCGGACTGCTTGAAGGTAAGTCCCTTACATGTAAGTAGCTCTGTAAAGTCTTCTCATTTCTGCTAACTTTTGGAGTATAGCTTCGTAGTTTAGAAGTTTTAATTTTAATTGTCTTATTCCACTCTTTACTTCTAAACGGTAACTATCCATGAGGTCAAGAGTAGCTTTGGTAGCTTTAAGTGGAGCTATCTCTTCTTGACTTGTGCAATTTTGGTTGCAATTGTGTTTGAGCTCCTTCAAGTTCGCCGTCTATGTCGTTCTCAACGCCTTCAACCATGGCTTGAAACTCTTCATCGGTCCATTGAGATTGGTGTGGACGAATTTAACTTGCTTCATTCAAAAAATGAAAAAAATGTTTTTACTCAAAACGTTAAGGTTGACTGAACTGGTTGGATGTCGCCTTCACAGGTTATGTAGAACGGCTGACCCGAGAAGTGAAGGAGAGACTGAATTGCCAATTTCATATGGGGTAGGGGGTTCTCCTTGTTTGGTATTTTTATCCAAGGACGTTTGTTTAGGAACTTAACAAGAGCTTCTCTTTTGGCGTCCTTTATGTCGTCGTAGGCTGTCCCGTCTGGTATTTGAATTGGAATTCCAGTCGAAGTCTCGAGCTGAAGTGTAGACCTTCCAGAAATACTGGTGAACTTGACCTTGGGCTTCATTACCCTGCGCAAGTACTGCTTAACAACTTCATTTATCTCTATAAGGTAAATTGCCTCGTCAAATCCTTCTGGCATTCCGAGTCCTTCCATCCGACAGGAAAATATTTTCCCGACAACTGGAAAATATTTTCCCGACAACTGGAAAAAATTTTCCCGACGACAGGAAGGACTCTTCCAGTTGTCCGTCCGTAAACCATTCAAATTTTCGAAAATTGAGAACTTTTGGTCGAACTTCAGAAAAAGTTTTTCCTTCCGACAGGAAAGGTTTTTCCTTCCGACAGGAAAGGTTTTTCCTTCCGACAGGAAAGGTTTTTCCTTCCGACAGGAAAGGTTTTTCCTTCCGACGGTTAAGCCACAAACAGATGTCCGACGTACCACCAACCGAGCCCATTCCCAAACCAGAGGAACCTAAAGCACCAGCCCCTGCACCTCAGCAACCTCAGTTCCAGCAAGTACCTCCGTATTACTACCAATTTCCACCTCAAGGTTACTACCCACCACAAGGCTTCCCGAACTACCCTCCTCAGCCTATGCCTTACTTCCCCAACCCTTGGATGTTTATGCAAAACCCTGCCCCACAATTCCAATCTCAATCCAAGAGAGACCAAGACTTCGAAGAAGGTCTGAACCGCTTACGCAAAGAGTATGCTACAGCTCCAATGGAAGACGACAGGCTTTCAGTCTCTTCCCTCAAATCGACCGATTCGACTCGTACCACAGATTCGGTCAAAGACAGAGACGACTACCTCAAGCAGTCTGAGAGACTCTTCATCTTACAGCCATTTACAGTTGGAGCTCTCAAGAACATGCGCAATTACGAAGGTCAGACACCAGCTGGAGACCGCAAAACAGACGTACTCGCAAGAGCAGTCCAACTGGTCAAGACAAAGACTGAGATAGTCGACTTCATTCTTGCAGCTTGCCCATACAAGTAAAAAAATAAACAATTACGAGTTAAACTTTTTACTCTTTCTTTTCTGAGTTGTTTAGAGCTGGTTTCTCTTGTAGGAACCTTTCGTACTCTTCCATGGTCATGTAATTGCGAATTTGGTACGCAATTCCAGGTTCGTTGTTTTTGAACCTTACGTATGTAACGCTTCCATCCTCCTCAGGGAAGTAAGCTGCTAACATCTGACCAAGTTTTCTCGGTGACTCGGAGCTCATAAAAATGTCACTTTTTAAACGTTAAGTTTTTAGTCTTATTTTACCCTTTGTTTACCCTTTGTTTACCCTTTGTTTGTCAAGGTAGTATTGGAGCGCAATTTCTCCAAATTCTCTGTGTCGGAGTTCTTCAGCATTTTCCAAGGTGTACCTGGAGAACTCATAGAAGTTGTCAAGAACATACTGCCATGCTGCTCTTCTGAGTTCGTCGGTATTTTGGAAGTGTTGCACCTTCGAGTCTTCTGACATGAAAAAAATGACACTTTTTCAGCAAAAATATATTTTAGGGTAGAAGGGTATATCTAACCTCTTTTCTAACCTCTTTTCTACCCTCTTGAATTTTCATGAAATTTACACCAAAAATATATTTTAGGGTAGAAGGGTATATCTAACCTCTTTTCTAACCTCTTTTCTAACCTCATGAATTTGTCATGAGTTTTCCCGAAATAAAAAATAAAGTTGGTTTTTTTAAAAAAATATTTTTTTATTTTTATTGTAAGAACATGTTAGCAACAACAGCACCAAACTCTTTAGTCATGAACCCAACTTCAATGTTAGTAGAGATGAAAAGCTTCATTCCTTCTTCATATACTTTCGAAAAAGAAATCCAGAAGATAAAGCAGGAACTTTTAACAAGTACTTTGGACTGTTGTGCGAAAGATGAACAAAATGAACAGTATCTTTACGACATGCAGGATATTATTGACCATTTACCCAAATTGCCTGAAATCCAACAACAAAAGCTTACTATTCCAGAATTCGATGAAATAGAAGTCAAAGCAACTGACTCAGTAGAAATAAAGAAGTTCATACGAAAGGTTAACTATGAGTTTCTTGGATTTCATTGCAACCACAAAGTCATGGACAAAGATTGCGATATGGTATATAAGAACATCTCTGACATATACAAATCTGGGGAGTTTAAGACCTACGACAACTTTGTTTCGTTAGTTGCAAAATGTGTATGGCAGATAAGAGATAAAGATAGAAGAGGTAAGATATGGAATGAACAGATAAAACCCGCAACTTTTGAGTTAAAGAGAGCAATTGACGCCTTAGTCATACTAGCAGGTAAGGTTTCAGAATATAACGCAAAAATGAACCCACAATGTTCTAAATGTAAAGCAGCAATGAGGAAATATAACTACTCCGTCAAAGAGATAGAACGTATGCGAAACGACTATGCTGACTTAAAGAGGGAGGCAGAGAAACCAGCAGAAGATAAAATGGACATGTTGACATTTCTAAACAAAAACTATCCAACAGCTGACGATTTCCTTCTTTCAGATGTCAAGAAGAAATATAAAGAAACCTTCGGCATTGTGAAAACATTCGATATCCTTCGTGAAGAAATAGAAGCTACAAAACTGTTTAGAATTTCACGAATTCACAATGTTTACCATGTAAAACGCTTATAAAATAACTGGGGTAGAAATGAGGGTAGAAAACGGGGTAGATATACCCTTCTACCCTAAAATATATTTTTATTGAATTCTGAGTAAAATTCTGAGTAAAATAATTTTTAGGGCATGTGTCAAACCGTTGAGTTTTCACAAAATTTTAAAAATAACGTTTACCATGTAAAACGCTTATAAAATAACTGGGGTAGAAAAGAGGTTAGAAAAGAGGTTAGATATACCCATCTACCCTAAACATTATTTTTATTGAATTCAGCAACAAAATTCTGAGTAAAATGACATATGGTTGCTTCCCTCGGAAAACCGAGAGAAGAACAGCGAGTAGTGAAAAAACCCTGGTCGCCAAAACTCTTTATTTTTCAAGCTTGACTTTTTACAATTTGAACTTTGTTTGCGTAGATGTGAATTCTGAAAGAAGTATGAGGGTCTTGTATGACTTTGTACTTCTCCCATAGTTCATGTCTGTCAAACTTACCTGCCATGGACTCTTTCATAAGTTCCATGAAATCGTCTTCGGACAATCCAGGGAAAAGTATAATGTCAGTAAGTATTCTTTTAACATCCTTACTTAAACTCTTGGCTGTCTGTACACAAATGACAACTGAGATGTTAAAGTGTCTGAGCTTCTTAAGAATTCGACACATGTCTTGTTCTCTATTCTTTAACAAAGGATGAGAAGCAAAGTCATCTAAGATAAGAAGACATCTATGAGGGTAAGTCTTCCAATCGTAAGATTGCAATTTCTTCGAAATGTATTCTATCTCTTTCTGTTTGTTTCTGAAGTGTTTCTTCTCTAATATTCTCTGCATTTCCTCATTTGGGTCTTTAAACTTAGAATTTATATACTCATTTATAGCATTGTACTTCAAAACTCTTCTTTGGTACTTCTTTATCCAATCTAACAACTCAGAGTCTTTTATACATACTAACTTAGACTTCTTTATAATATCTTTGAACGAATTGACGGTTTGGTCAAATTGACCAGAAGTACTACAAATGACAACTAACTCATAGAATGGGTTCTTCTCATCTAGTTCTTGTTGTTGTGCAGCCATTTTAAGATAAGTGAAAGTCTTACCCGACCCAGGTGGTGCAATTAGACCTGTTATACCATTCTGAGCAAATAAGAACTTGTCATGTATAGGCTTTATCTGAGCATTTTCTAACTTCCTCTTGTTCTTGTTTAAAACATTCTCAAATTTCTTGTCAATGTCAGCAAACTTTTTTTCTAACATATTTTTAGAAAAATTAAAATTTTTATCTTTTTGAAAATGTCTAGCGATTTCGCCATCTATATTCGAGACAAGCTTTTCGACAGCAAAACATCTGTCGACCATAAAATCTTACATAGTGTAAACAAGAAAGGTGAATTTGTTCTAAAGTTCTGTTTCTGGGAATATGACAAGAACCATAAAACATTAAGCAGAGAAGTCTTTAAGTTTGTCAATGACAGACTTGTTGACAGAGATGACGCCGATTGGAAAGATGAAGTCCAACAAAAGTTCTTAGAATGCAAAGAAGACACATGCGCTGTTCTTGAAGATGAAATAGGAAACAGAATAGAAGAGCTATTAAAGGACAAAGAACTTTTACATAAATATGGTTGCGCCAAATTTGACATAACTCCACCAGAGAAGAAGAAGAAGAGAGAGAAGAAAGAAAAGAAAGTAGAAGAAGAGAAAAAGAACCTGAACCAGTTCCAGAGAAAAAGAAATTTGACATGTAAAATAAAATTTTATTTTTAGAACATTTCTGGGTCAATGTCAATGTTCTCTTCCTCTTTAGGAGTAAACACTGGCTTAGACTCTAAAATCTTTTTACCCAATTTACCTTGAACTTCAACTATCTTAGACTCATAATATTCATAGTCGTCTGCTTTCTTTGGTTCATAAGGTATAACAAGTTTGTATGCTTTGCCTTCTTTAAGGTTTGAAAACCTTCTGTCAAAACTTTCTTTGACTGCTAACAAACCTTCTATGTCTAAGTCTTCAAATTTCGCACCATTTTTAGTCACAATAGCAAACTTAACTGGTTCGATGTTCCAAACTTTGTCAAATGTAGACTTTTCAAAATTGTAGAAGTAAACGTTCAAATAAGCGAATGGGTCTAGTTCTTCTTTGACTTCTGTCATGTACTTGTTGACTGAAATATATTTCGTCATCTTTTCTATCGGATAAAAAAATATTTTTTTTAAATTTACTCAGAAAAATTTTTCTTTGTATATACACCATTCTGAACATCTAAAAGATTTTTGACATTTGCCAAGAATGTACGTTTAGAAGCTGCCATATAACCATACTCTTGACAATACTGTTTATATTCATCGTACAATGACCTTTCATCTAATGACACAAAGTCAGTTTCATCTATGAACAGTTCATATACACTCTTGTTTGCTTCTAACAATGTTTGTCTCTCTTCGGTATGTGGAATTTGTCTTGGATTGAACTTTGAAATATCTAATGTCATAAAATATGAGAACAAGTGGTTGTAAAAGTCAGATGTCAAAGTTTCTGCTAAGTCGTCAAAATATTCTGTATCTTGCATATGAGAATCTGACGTTCTGACAACTACATATCTTCTGTCAGAACTTTCTAACTTCATCGGAACAGTATTGTTTGAAACCATAATGAAGTTTGCAACATTCTCACAAACTCTTTGGTCTTTATACTTTCTTTCAACAACTCCAACTTTGTCTGTTATAAGACTCTTCAAAGCATCTGAGTTCAAAACTTTTGTTGTATCTATACTTTGAAGTTCATTGCAAACTATAAGTTTCATATTCTCTATTGAGGAGTTAAATTTACCGCAGATGTTTTCTAAGTTTGTCATATTCGGATTCGAATAGCCCTCTAACAGTTTGCACAAAATATCTGTAAAGAATGTGTTCTTACCAGTTCCTTGTTTTCCAATTATAATGAGAGCAGTTTCATTTTTAGCACTTGGATATTGTAAGATGTGTGCAAACCAACATAAGATATCTTAGACTCTTCGTTTCCATTGCATATAATTTCTTTGACATGGTCTAACCAAGCTTCTATAACATTTCTTTCCATTCTACTTGTTCGTATTTATATCCAGTGAAGATAGAATAGAAGTTTGGAGATGGTGTATAGAACTTTATACCTCGAACTGAAAAATCTTCTAACTTTGACAATAAGATATCCCAAGCATCTAACATCTTCATTCCAACTTGTACAACTTTTATTTTCTTAAGTTTCTGTCTACATTCTTGTTCAGACACTATTGTTGCTCTTGTTTGTTAAAGACAACATCCCATTCTTTCATGAAAAACATTCTGGGGCAGAGTCGACATAAATGACTAAACGTTTCAAATTTCGACTGCTTTGTTATAGTCTCGAAATGGACACATATTTCTGAATGCTTGGAAGTCATAAAAATCTGAAACATCTATTCTGTACATTTTTATAAAAATAAAAAAATATTTTTTTTATTCTTGACTTTGTTGTTGCATTTGTTGCATTTGTTGTTCTTGAGCTATTTGTTGTTGAAGTTGTTCTTGTAGTACATACTTTCCCAGTTGCATCTTCCAATTCGAAACTTTCTGCCGTCATTGACAAATACATAGGACATAAAAGTTTTACAGGAAAAGTTTGCGTCAACTAAGGTTAAGTTTATGTTTGCTAAAGTGTTTGAGTTTACTAAAGCTGAAAACTCTGCATTCGAATGAACTAGGCAAACCAGCAGAGAAAGTGTTGTTTATACGCATAAGTATCTTTTGGTCATAGTAGTTTCTGTCGACATTCGAATAACACTTTGAACCTAAGTTTGAAACAATATATAAAATAGGTGTGCTTAAAGTCAATGGAATAGATAGACCTTGTATGACACCTTTTCCTGTTATAGGAAACTGTTGGTAGTAAAAACCAGATATAAGTTTTGTATTATAGCTCATATCGTTTATACTAAACTCAGTCGGACATCAAACATAATGAAACCTGCTCTAGTTGCAGCACATGTTACATCCGTCCTTAAAGTATTAAATAAGTCAACAAAACCTGTTGGTTGGTATATCTGAGTAAGTATCTTCAAAGAAGTATTTTTTACCATTCACAACAACAAAGTCTTCTGGTGTCAAAAGAGCAAAACAGGCTTTAGTCGTCATTGTGTTTAAGGTTAGTTTACAATATCGTCCTTGAGGACTTTGTAAGTTTGTTGTTATAGAATTATATGACTCAGGGTTTTAGTCGTAATAGTATAAACCACTATGTCTTCTGCCATTTACTTAGCAAGTAATTTTAATGAAATGTTGTGGTCGTCAAATATTTTTATGACGTCTGGGAAACTATATTTTAAGTTCAACGTTTCACCTCCTTTCATAACGTATATCTTGTCAATGACATTATATGAAACACCACAGCAACTAACGTCGGGTTCTATTTCTTTGATGTTTATATCGTCTGCCTCTGTCAAAAGTTTCAATAGTTCTTTCAAAACTTCATGAGGTGCGATGACATATGAGTTCACTTTACAGGGTTGTGTTCGACCAAGTTTAACATTATACCCAAAGCTTGACAAATCTTCTCCTGAGTTTTAAGTTTGTCTTTAAGTTGTTGGTAGTCGTTTCGAATATCTGCAACAGAACTTAAGTCTCTGCTAACTTCAGGGTATGTTGGTTGTTCTTTTACAGGAACTATTGTTATACCATCTTCGTCTTCGTATGGTTTCCCCACTTCAACATCTTTCTTTGACATTGACAACAACACTTTGACTGTTTGTTTGAGTTGGTGAATTTAACTTCACATCTGCCATCGCCATTAAACCTTTTGAAACACTTACGCTTCTATTTTTCGGAAATGACATTTTACTTAGAATAAAAAGATGGACGTATTTGAGTATCTCTTCGAATTGAAGCAGAACAAAGTTTACACACAAACAAAACAATACAAGTTCATTGACAGAATAGTTCTTTATACAAACAATGGAAAATGTTATAGAATAGCAGTCTTTGCTGAACCAAAATATTTTCATAAAGCAAAGAAAGTTGGTATAACTGAAATGGTGAAAGTTCTTGAAGCAGACAAAAATATAACAACAAAACTGACCGATATTTCTAAAGGTAAGTTTTTAATACAATATTATGTCAAAACTGGCGTACTGTCAATATTTGACGGAGAGAAGTCAGTTCAAGAACAACTTACTGACCTGCTGCCAAAATCTGCTCGATGGAAGCTGTCGTTATGCCAATCTGAGGAGCCCCAGCAGGTTTCATCGAACGAATCTTCAAAAGAGCATCTTCCGTGAAAAGTGCTATTGGTTTTGTAAACTTCTTTGCTTTCAATTCATCTGGACCGTCTCTGTCACCAGTATATTGTATTTGAACTGTACCAACAGTTGAAATACCACCCATAAAGTCTTCTGAGTCAGCAAATGGAATGCCAAGCCAAAAGTTTGAACGGTCTCCATTTGTATATTGAGTTTTTTGAGCTCCTGTATGGTCCATACTTTCACATATGGCATAATAGAACTTTGCATTTCAGGGTTAATGGTTGTTGTGAAGTTGTTGTTAAAGTTCATAGCATCTAATGTCAAGTTGTATGACCTCATATCCTCAACTGTAGAATATTCTTCTCTTGGATAATATTTGCCATCTATGTTTATATGATATTTAATACCAGGGTTGTAGAAACAAGAATAGTCATTTATAGTTCGTCTGAACAGTACAAACATAGTATCTGCATGTTTCATTGCAGTTGTTAAGCAATATCTGTTCTTGCACCTGGGTCAGCACTTTGGTTTCCAACTTCACCTGCAAAGTCTTTGACAGATATTTGGTGTATAGGGAACATAAGTGGAACTGCAATATATTTGGCAGCTAAAGCATTTGAAATATCTGGGTCCAACATATAGACTGCAAGTCTGCTTTCTATTCTCTTGCATTCAAACTTTTTCGCATGTGAACTTAACTGGGTCCCAAGCATCTCCAGCAGCATTGAAATAATAGTTTACTTCAGTGTTGAGGTTTGAGAAACCAAAGTCTAAGTCAACTTTGTTTTTGCAAAAGTCGGCGAATGACATTTTATTTGTTCCCACTACTTCTGTAAGAGTGAATGGGTCTTGTGTTGGTGCAATGACTAAGTTATTTTTGCTTGGAGTAAGTTCGATAGAAATTTTTCCTGCCCAGTTTGGCAAGTATCTTAAAAACCTGAAGATGAGGAAAGATGACAAAGGAACTCTAAGTTTCAGTTTTACTTTGGTTACTGCTGCTGCAGTTTGTCCAGAAAGGTTAACATAAACTCCTGGAACGTTAGGGTCAAGTCTTCTTATTTTCTCAATAGTTGCATACTGGTCTGTTTGTTCTCTAGCTTGTGGTTGTACTGAGTTTCTCAAAGCGAACCATTCATAGTTTGCCCATGTTACTGTTTGAACTAAGTCAGAGTTAGAATATATCTTATATCCCATGAAAACTTCTGGAGCATATTGGTATCCGACATAGAAAATTCCATTGCAACCTTTCTTGTCAGACAACTTGGCAGAAGGTTTTATTTCAATGTCTTGTTCCACGTATAAGAAAGAGTTGTCAATAGAAATATATGAAACCTGTCGCAAGCAATATCTACTGTTGTTGAAGAACCTTCTCCAAACTCACCTACGTTTCCATAAGAAACAGCAGTTGTATATTCGTAAGTTCCAGGAACTATTTCTGACCTTCTAATGGCATTGTCGCATTCGTTATACCATTCGGAAACATTTCCATTCATAGCATCCAAAACTGTTGGCGTTATATTCTGAGCGGCGTACATTTCATATGAGTAAAAATATAGAATAGTTGGATTTATATGTCATAATAGAACCCACGTGGACCAAGCTTTACTTTCTTCCTGACTGAGTTTTTAACTCTTCTTTTTCCTTCATTGCCCTCTGCTTGAAGTTGTTGCATCTTTGCATTATGTTCATCTAGTATGTTGCAAATTTCCCATGTCCTTTTTGCCTTTTGGCTCTGGTCGCCCATCTCAGGTAACCTATATCCTAGAAAGATTTTGTCATAGTTTGTATTTGAGTCTTCGCGTATTGTTTGCATGACTCTTTCCTGAGTTTCCGGTTCAAGCTCTTCAAACAGTGCCTGTCCATATGGAATAAGCTCGTTTCCAAATATATGTTTTTGTAGCCATTCTGGTTTTCTTTCCATGTTACCAACTATATCTTTTGTGAATGGGAAAGCTTTTACCCAATCTTTCAGTCTTGCGTCGTTTATTTCTGTAGTTGGTTTTATTTTGTCAAGGAACATGTTTTTTCAATACTAACATTTCATTTGGTACTGTCCATTTGAGTTTTCTTAAATATTCATCCCTTCTCATTCATTGTCTGCAAAGTAAGTTTTTATGACATTTTGTAAACTTTCGTTTGCAAGGTCATGTACAATAGGTTCTCTTCCTTCTCCCTCCCTAACTTTCTTTCTAAACTCTTCACCAAATATACCATCTCTATGGTTCTGTGTAGTTCTTTGAGATAAATGTTTAGAACGTCAGGTGTTATATTTCCATCAGCCATGTTCATTTCATACTGGTCCAAAATATCTGCATCTTTCATATCTTTCAATGGCATTAAAGCCGCGCTGAAAATACCAGCTATATCTGGTTCACCATTGACTTCCATTGCGTCTACAACTTCTTGGAATTGTGGTTGTAAGTTTATGAACCACCTATCCGGATTAGCTTTATGACCCCATCTCATTGTAGTTCCATCGTCTGCAGAAACAAAAGTAGGTTTGTTTCCATCTTGGTTAGGTTCTGAATGAACTTTAAACAATGTTTCATTTCTATATGTTTTCTTGAAATTTAACCTTTTATTTTCACCGAGTTCATCCGAAGATTGAACGTTAAATGCTCGTAAGTAAAAAGGGTTGTTGTATTTGTGTACATTTTTTTCAGTTCTTCCATTCTATGCTGGATATTTTCATCTGATGTTGGAGTCTTTTGTATGTCGGCAAACATTTTTCGATATTCTTCTACTATGTCAGCCGAATTTTTTTTAGACTCTTGGAAATATTCCATATTCTCCGCATACTCTTGTTGAGGGTCAAGATTTTTCGGCTGTTCCAAATCTTCATCTAGTTCTGTGAAGTTAGTTTCCAAAGGAGGACTTGTTCGTTTCCTTCAGGCTCTTCTAGCTGTTGTTGCTGAACTATTTCTTCCATGTCTGGTTGTATCTGAACTTCTTCCTGTGGAGTTTCTTGTACCTCATCTGCTGGCATTTCATATATTCCGAGACCGTTTTCAACAATTTCCCTATCTACGTCATCCGCATTCATAAGCTTTTGTTCTTTCGTTCCGTCTCTATTTTTTACGCGTTTCATGACGAAAGTTGAATTGTCATTTAGCTCTGACATCAAATATCTCGGAGTAAATTCATCCATGTCATTTGGATGATATGCTATTAAATCATATCCCTTAGCGAGCTTGTATTTTCCAGGTTTGAGATTATATCCGTTTTGGTGCTGAGCCATAAAGCTAAATAGGTTCGGGTCAGTATTTCCATCCTTGAACTTTCCAATAGCTTCTTTATATCTGTCACTAAAGTCAACAGTATCTGGGAAACCACACTCTTCTTTAAGCATTTTTAAGAATTCTTGGTTTCCTTGTTCTCTACTTCTTTTATGTCCTTGTTCTGTTTGTGGTTGTTGTTGTGCTGGTTTTGGTTGTGGTGCAGGTGCTGGATTTTGAACTGTTGGTTGTTGTGCTGGATTTTGAACTGTTGGTTGCTGTGCTGGATTTTGAACTGTTGGTTTTGGTTGTTGTTGTGGTGCTGGATTTTGAACTGTTGGTTGTTGTGTTGGTTTTGGTGCATGCCTGTGTCTGTGTCCATGTGACGATGTAAATGTTTTAGGTAGTCCTGGTGCAGGTGCTTCTCTTGGAGGGTTTGGTGGTATATAAGTTCCACCAGCTGGCACATATGTTCCATCTGCAGCATAATGTCCTACCTGACTTTTCGTTTTTAAGAAAGCATTTACTAGGTCTGTTTTGGTCTGTTGTAACTCTTTTTCTTGACTTTTCACAACAGTTGCTCTAACGGCGTCATAGGCACTTTGAACTGCCTGTCTCGTTGCTGCATCTGTTATTTTCGTCATATTTTGTGCTACTTCTCTTAACTCTTTGTCGAAACCTTCAGACTTCAGTTTCTTTCCAGATGAGAAGTCGTTCACTAGTTTCACCTTACTATGAAGAGCTTCGAAGGCGTTCTTAAAGTCAGCATTTGTTAAAGCTTCATTTGAACTGTCTTCATCCGCTTGTATTTTTGTCCTTATTGACCCTATAAGCTGGGCTGCTTTGGCGTTGGCTTGGGCATCTAACCAGTCATTGTTAGCTTTTATATATTCTGCGCTTTTCATTGCCTTTTGCATGGCTGCGTCGTTATTTTTACTTTCTTGTGCTAAGTTTTCATACTGTACGGTTTGGTTTTGCAACTGTAAAAGTTTTTCTGCCTTTACATTTGCTTCAACTTCTTTTTTATACTCATCGCTATCCATATATGTCTTCAGGGCTTTTTGTTTTATTTCTTCATCTTTCAGTACTTTATATTGAGTAGTATGGTTTTTCAAATTTACAACATCTTGTTCCATTTTTGCTACTTCTGCTGCTTTTTCTGACACTTTTTTTGCATATTCCTCTGTACTTAGTTCTTTCAGTTGTTCTTCTTTCTTCTTTTTCTCTACGTTTAACTCATTGAGTTTCTTTGTGTGTCTGTCATATTCTAGTTTCTTTTCGTTTTCACCTATTTGTTTCTGTATGTCTATGTTTGACTTTTTGACATCTGATATTTGATTTTTGAGTGAACTCAAATTCATTTGACTTTGAGGGTTATATGCTGTTCCGTCTGCAGCTCCACCATAGCCTGCCATTTTCGCTAAAAGTGCCGCTCTTAAACCTCCACTCTGTGCACCAAAAACTCGGTTTAAAAGCATAGGATTGCTTGACATTTGTTGCAACATAGTGGGGTCATTCAATATTTGTTGTTGCAACTGTTGTTGTGGTGTCAGTTTTACTATTGGATGTTTCAATGCTCTCTTCCTCTTACGTATATTCTTACGTAGCTTACGTGGCATTTTAAGTGAAGTTAAAAAGCGGTTTTTGACAGATGTTTTATTGTGACTTCTTCGTAAAGACTTTGTTGAGACTTCTTCGTAAATGAGTGTAAATGACCCAAAAATATATTTTAGGGTAGAAGGGTATATCTAACCTCTTTTCTAACCTCTTTTCTACCCTCTTGAATTTTCATGAACTTTCTTGTCTATGTTTTGTTGAGATTTCTTCGTAAAGACTTTGTTGAGACTTCTTCGTAAAGACTTTGTTGAGACTTCTTCGTAAATGAGTGTAAATGACCCAAAAATATATTTTAGGGTAGAAGGGTATATCTAACCTCTTTTCTAACCTCTTTTCTACCCTCTTGAATTTTCATGAATTTCTTCGTAAAGACTTTGTTAAGACTTCTTCGTAAAGACTTTGTTGAGACTTCTTCGTAAAGACTTTGTTAAGACTTCTCGTAAAGACTTTGTTGAGACTTCTTCGTAAAGACTTTGTTAAGACTTCTTCGTAAAGACTTTGTTGAGACTTCTTCGTAAATGACCCTAGTAGTATATTTTTGGTGTAAATTTCATGAAAATTCAAGAGGGTAGAAAAGAGGTTAGAAAAGAGGTTAGATATACCCTTCTACCCTAAAATATATTTTTGGTGTAAATTTCATGAAAATTCAAGAGGGTAGAAAAGAGGTTAAAAAGAGGTTAGATATTACCCTTCTACCCTAAAATATATTTTTGGTGTAAATTTCATGAAAATTCAAGAGGGTAGAAAAGAGGTTAGAAAAGAGGTTAGATATACCCTTCTACCCTAAAATATATTTTTGGTGTAAATTTCATGAAAATTCTGAGTAAAATGACAGATGTTTATATGACACTTTCTCCGGTTTATAGGACCTCTCTCATATTCTAAACATCTTCGGGGCTAGAGGGCACGAAGTGCCTGGAAGCCCCACTACCTTTTTTTTTTTTTTTTTTTTTTTTTTTTTTTTTTTTTTTTTTTTAAGCAGTTGAAGAGAATAAGATATTAGTAATAAAAAACTTTCCCCAGAAAGGAACACCAAAAATGACGAGATAAAGCCATTGCAAAGAGAAAATGGAAGAAGAAAACGAACTGAATATAGAAAACTCATGAAGCGATGTATCTATGGGAAAACTATTGAAACGATGTATTTATTTTCAATGCATATGTGCTAGTGTTTACATAATTCAAAATCTCAAAGTTAAAGTTTTAAATGTCACTTTTTGAACCTTAAATTTGGAATTTCAAATAAAAAAAATTCAAAATGGAAGATAATCAAGAAATTCCTGATCTTTCATATGGTGCTTGTTTGATCGGACCACCTGGTAGTGGAAAGACATCAGCAATCAAGGCATTGAAAGAAATGTGCGAAAAACTAAGCAGACACGTTATAGTAATGAATCTTGATCCGGCCAATGACCAATTACCTTATCAAGCAGACTTTGATATTTGTTCAACAATAAATGTTAAGGATGTAATGGCTACAACTGCTTTAGGTCCCAATGGCGGCCTAATTTATTGTATGGAGAGCCTTGCTGAAAACATAGATGCAGTTGCAGACGTGATACGTCCTCGTGTTCAGAAAGCATCGTATTTTCTAATTGATTTTCCTGGCCAAGTCGAATTATACACTCATTCTGAATGCATTCGTCAATTTCTGGATAAATTCCAGAAAGATCTCAAACTTAAACTCGCTACAGTTAATCTTGTCGATGTTGTTTTGGCTTCTACGAAACAAGGATATCTTGGTCAATCTCTAATGAGCATTGGAATGATGCTACGCTTATATACGCCCCATATCAATGTACTTAGTAAGTTTGATCTCGTTGAAACAGGAGAAGTTGAACTTCCATTTGAAACAGAAACTTGTGATTTCGAAGACATGGTTTGCAGTGGAACACCAAGTAAACTACATCAAAAAATCGTTGAACTTCTTTGCGATTACGACTTAGTTTCATACGAATATTTCAGTGTAACTGATGAAAGCTCTGTAATGCATCTGATTGAGCTTATCGATAAGGCTGTTGGTTGTTCATGGATGCTTTAAAGTCAAAAATAAATTAGAATTAAAAAATAAAAGTTTTGTTTGTATTAAATTTCCGATTTTTATAACTCACATTTCCAGAAATCAAGAATCATTACATTAGATATGGTTGATTTTGTAATAAAATACTGATTGAATTAAGTTTTCTTAAATTGCATTATAAGAGCTTATTAAAAAGGTTATTTATGCATGTAGATATATCTGGTTGATTTGATTGATCTAAAAAGTTTATATAAAGAATTTTGAAAAATATCTCACTCAATACCTAGATTTTAATAACAAAATACCAAAATATAATGTCAAGTGCTTTGATTAATGCAGAAAACAAGTATTAAATTTTTCAATAATTTTAGATAATTTTTAAAAAAATAAAGTAAACTGTAATTTATACAAAAATATCATTTTTTATTTATTAAATTGTTAACATTTTTTTAATCAGAGAAGAATCCCCAAACTTCAACTGCTTCTGCAGCGAATTCAGGAGTTCCAGCCAAATATTCTTCAGCTTCAGGAGAATCTGGTGGCAAACCAATACCGTAAGAGTTTTCTATAACAGCGACGCATTGTTTGAAATTGTCAGCGAGAACTAAATCGTATCTTCCGAATGTCAAAGTATCCTTTTCGGCGAACAAGACACAAGGTTCTTCAATTGAAGGTCTGTAAGGAACTATTGCATCTCTATTCAAAGAGAACAAGAAACAACCATTTGGCTGACCGAAATTCTCTCCATTATGGTTCCATTTTGTTCCTGCGAATCCACCGAAAACGAAATCATCTCTTTTGACTAAAACAAGAGTAATTCCCAAATTATCAATCAAGTCATGCATGATTTTGATGCTCTTTCCATCCCTTTGTGTACTGAACAACATATGTGTCTTTGGTGTTGCTTTGAATGGCAAAGCGTGATACAATGAATCACCTTGTATCTTGTCAATGATCTTTGATCCCGCGAATGGCGTGAAATTGATTTCGATGCCATTCTTCTTCATCTTTTGTCTCCTTCTTGCAGCCAAACTTGAAATCTTCGTGACTTTGACTTTGGACAAATCAATTGGCTCTCTGTTTTCATATGTAGATGAATTAGTTGGTTGTGTGGATTCCGGTGGTAATGTTGTTGTTTCTGTTCCGTAATCAGTGATCCTTTCGCGCTCATTGAATGGAACATCCCTCTTAACAACACCATCAGGAAGATCTGCAATTGATTTCGGACAAACCGTCAAACCGCCGGTTACACAAAGATCACCTTCGATATCGCAATCCAAAGGAATGTCATCATCATGTTTGAGTTCTTGTAACAACCTGTCGTGAATGCAAGAACTCTTGATGAATGTAACTGGATCGGAATATTCTTTGTGTAACTGAATAAACTCTTCTTTTTCGACGATTTCTTGGAGTTTCCTTTCTACTTCAGTAAGAGCGGATCTGAGTTTAAGAGCTCTTTCGCCAGATTGTTGCTTCAAGGATGTAATGGCGTCTTGTGCAACTTTCATGATCCTTGCTTCAACGGTTTTTTCGTTTTCAATGACATCTTTAAGGCGCTTTGTGAAATCTTCCTTTTTCTCGGTAAGTGCTTTTCTGCGGCGAACGTAAATTCTGTCTTCTGTCTCTGTGTGCTTGCAGGCGGCCGTGTAAGCGTCTTTAAGAGGAACAAGGGTGTGTTTCGAGGCGCTTCCGAAGGAATGGGTGCCGCTCATCTTGCATTCGAGGCAGACAGGTAATTGGCACTGGAAACAGAAGTGTTCGACCTTAACTCCGGGATGGAATGGACAATCTGTCATCTGTGTGAAAGCTTCGGAGACAGGAATGCGTTTATGGGCTTCGAGAAGCTTGTTTCCTGTATGGCTTTCGGCATTGCACTTGTCACAAAGCTTGGCTGAACAGTTTGTGCACCATAATGTTGCTGGAGCACCACAGAGATCACATTTGTGCTCGGTTTCGTGCTTGAGCTCAAGTGTTTCTCCACTTGTGAAGCGGACAATGTGTAATGTACGGATTTGCTTCGGTTTGAAAATAACGAAATCGGATTTGTTGACGCAAAGTGAATCATAGTCATCCGGAAGGTCGGATGCTTGTGGTTCCATCTGAATAAAGTCTGCTTGATCGAGTTCATCACACATTATCGGTTGATAATTGTATGTATTTCCTAAAGCAACGAGTACATGAATGACTTCGTTAAAATCGCGATCTTTATTGATGTCAATTTTGTTTGGGCAAACGTGCAATGGAAGATTTGGTGAAATTCTAACACCGTTTTTGATGATATCTGATAAAGGTTGCTGAAAAGAAGTTGTTGGTATAAAAGCGTGAACTACATTCAATGGCTGTAAGTTTTCACAATATTTTCCGAAATTAATCGCTTGTTGTACGTTGTTTATATCGAATGCTTCGATGATTTGAACGCGAGGTGCGTGTAAGAGCTGTTGGATTTGATACTCCATCGTGATGTATGCTTCTGACGATTTAGGTATCTTATTCATTGGTTGAGTCATCTTTGAAATTTAAAATCTGTCAAAAATAGTTACATAACGCATGATAACTTCTTTTTTTCATCAATCAAAAATTTTGCACAATAAAGATATACAACAGTAATGTTTATTAAATTGCCCATGTTTATGGCACTTATCTTAACAAATCAATCTAAATTTTCAATTTGTTTTTCAAATTGCAATAACATATTATGAAATGGTTCCACGATATCAAGGTCTATTAAGTTCCGTATGACAACATCTCAAAATTCGATACATTAATTAGCCGTAAATTAATTGATTACTAATACAAAAAGGAATTGATCATTGTATTTCTTATAACCATCACATTATTGTTTTCATAACCAATTCATCTAAAAATTTGTTAAATTTTAAAATAATTTTAAAAAATGAACTTAGTTGAATAAAAAAAGTAAATTTAATTTAAATTAATAAGAGAGTCAATAAAAAAATGATAAAAAAAGTTTAATTTCTTGTGTAGTTCTTCTGCATATCGCGGATCTGGTTCATGAACTGATCGAGTGGAACAACTGTTGGAGCGTTCTCACCACGCCATCTAGCGGCAACTGAGCGGCTCTCGACTTCGCGATCACCAATGATGAGGGCGACGTTGTTAGACATCTTGAAAGCATTGACGATCTTCTTGTTCATTGATTCTGGGCCATCAGCGATTTCTACAGCGAATCCCTCGAGGTGCATCATGTCGTAGATTTCCTTGATGTACTTCATCTGTCCCTCCTTTGTCATGTTCTGTGGGATGATGCAGATCTGTCTTGGTGACATCCAGAATGGGAACTTGCCAGCGAAGTGTTCGATAGCGATAGCGATGAAACGCTCGAGTGAGCCGAGAACAGCACGGTGGATCATGACTGGGCGCTGTGGCTTGAGCTCAGCGTCGACGTATGTGAGGTCGAACTTCTCTGGGAGCTGGAAGTCGAGTTGGATTGTAGCGAGCTGGTGGCGACGGCCGAGGCAGTCCTTGACGAGGACATCAATCTTTGGACCGTAGAAAGCAGCTTCTCCTGGAGCTTCTGTGAAGTTCTTCTTGTTATCGATAAGAGCCTGGCGAAGCATGTTTGTAGCGTTCTCCCAAACCTTGAGATCACCCATGTACTTCTCCATGTTGATTGTGGATAATGTGAACTCAAGTTCCATTCCGAAGTAACCGTAAACTTCTGTCATGAAGTCAAGACCATCGGAAATTTCCTCACCGATCTGGTCATAACGAGCGAAGATGTGGGCATCATCCTGAACGAAGCGGCGAACACGTGTAAGACCTGTGAGAGCGCCTGTAGCTTCGTTACGGTGGAGAACACCGAATTCAGCCATACGGATTGGCATTTCCTTGTATGAGCGGACCTTTGATCTGAAGACAAGGCAGTGGCCTGGGCAGTTCATTGGCTTCATACCCATTTCACGGACAGCCTTCTGAGCGACTGGATCCTTGGCATCCTGGGCAGCGAGTTCCTCCTCTGTTGGAGCACCATCGTCGACCTTGAAGTGGAACATGTCGTCACGGTAGTGAGCCCAGTGACCGGATGTCTTGAAGAGGTCATCGTAGAAGATGTTTGGTGTGATGACTTCGACGAACTGGCGCTTGAGGTACTGCTGGCGGATCATTGACATGAGACGGCGGTACATGAGGCAGCCTTCTGGGTAGAAGAAAGCACAGCCTGGTGACCATTCGTGGAAGAAGAAGAGGCCGAGATCTGTGCCGAGCTTTCTGTGATCACGCTTGGCGGCTTCTTCAAGGAACTTCTTGTGTTCTGTCATCTGTTCCTTCTTGGGGAATGTGATAGCGCGGATACGGCGCATCTTTTTGTTGGCATCACCGTTCCAGATGCAAGCAGAAACATCCATGACCCACCAGGAAGCGATTGGGGCAGCATTGATAAGGTGTGGACCGCGGCAAAGATCGATGAATGTGCCTGTACGGTAGAGAGAGACGAGTTCACCTGGAGCAACTCTGTTTGTAAGGATTTCTGTCTTGTAGTGGTTGGATGAGAAGATTTCAAGAGCTTCTTCACGAGTGCACATCTTGCGCTCGTAGTCAACCTTGTGGTTGCAGATGGAGATAGCAGCCTTTTCGATTTCCTTGAGTGTTTCTGGTGTAACCTCTTGGCCTTCTCTTGGCTCGTAATCGTAGAAGAAGCCCTTCTCGCCGGCTGGGCCGATAGCGATTTCAACCTGAAGGTGTGTCTCAATGGCAGCACCGAGAACGTGAGCAGATGAGTGCCAGAAAACTTCTTTGCCACGTGGGTCATCGAAGTTAACGAATGTAATGTTGTCACCGTGTGTGATTGGGCGTGAAAGATCCCACATCTCTTCTAAGTTGATTGCAGCAGCATAGAAAATTGTCTTTGGTGGGTACTCAGCCTTGATGATATCGAGTGGTGTTGTAACACCAAGGGTGATTGTGATTTGCTTGCCTTCCTTAGCTTGTTTACTGTTTTCTGGAAGTAATAAAATTTGAACTTCCTTTGGCTCGACCTTTGGAGTCTTATCTTCCATCTTGTTGAACATATCAAGACGTCTCTGGACGAACTCTGGAATTGGTTCTTTACCCTTTCCCTTTTGAGCAGCAGCTTCGCTCATTGTAAAGTGAGACGACCAAAATCCCCTATCGCCGACCATTCCTTACTCAATTTTTCAATAAGTTATTCAAAATTTTTGTAATTTTGGAATAGGAATTTAACGATTTAAGCACGAAGAAATATATTTAGTCAATAAATATAACAAAGTGGCGGTGTTTTTGTATGAAATTGATGAAGTTCAATCTCGAGATTTCATTTCAACAAGATTGAATGGAAAGAATGACAAATAAAAAATGAAGAAATATGCAATGCTATATAGTGGAGTGTTCGGACAGTATTTTGCTGTCCTAAGAACGTTTTTTTATTCCCAGTTCTCCGAATTCTCAATATTTAACGATGGGATCGATCATCGTCTTTCTCCTCTGAAATTAATTCTTTAAAATGTCATTTTTCTAATTTAGATGATGGACAAAACAGTATCTACATAGAGATTAATAAGAGTTATTATCGTAAAAACTGACATTTAAAAAAATTGAAGGTTAAAACTTTTTCAAGAAACTTAATAAGATTTATTTTCTATGATGCCTATTCAGTTCGTTTTGTGACAAAATTCTGACATTCATTTTGCGTTTTGTATTTTTCAGATCATTTGCATGTTTAACAATTTCAAATTTCATTGAAATCGAAAGTGCATGAATGATTTCATCAGGGCACAAAGGCATAAATCGTAATTGTTCTTTTATCACCAAATTTCAATTTCAAAATCACTAAAATTCTTTAGTTCATGATCAATGTTACTTTCGTTGCTGTTCTATATGATATTTAACCGAATAAGTATACAATTTCTTAAATATAAAATACTCTTGCATTAAGACCTGTCTTTAAATAAACTGTGTATTAACAAACTCCCACACCCTATTTTATATCGAATTATTTAGTTAATATCCACCAAAACTTTTCCTATTCTGAATTATCCTATGATATAAGATAATTATCGCTAATAACTTTATTTGTTATGAATAAGTAAACTATCTTTTATTGATCTTTTCTTATAATTCATGAATAATAACGGAGAATTGATTTAAATTTCAACAACCTCCGAAATATGGAATAAAGCAAACTAACATATGACAATTTAGCATTCCTTTACTTAATTTGTTGTAAACAGAAATTCATCAAAAGTAACACCTTAGAAAAGCTAAAATATTGAATTTTTGGAACTTTTGATAGAGCACGTTTTTAAATATTAATTAAAGTAAATGTATATTTTGTAAAGATTCTTTTTAATAAAAAAATAAAATTTTGAGGAAGAACACAAAATCTTCTGAAAAATAATATCACATAAACTCATATTATTTTCTAATATATAACTATTTTATATAAAAATCAAATTCAATGATCTTAAAAGCGAAGGATAAACCTCAAAATTTACGAATATAATGAGTGGGAATATAATGCTTATCTATCATAAAACCATATGAAATATCAATTTTTGCTTTACGCCTAATTTTTGACGACAATTAGCAAAAAATGTTAAATGTTAACACTCAGTCCATTTGAATATGAAAAATAAAATTGACTTTGATTAAATGTTTTTATTTATCATGCAATTCTTCTTGCGACCAAAGATTTGAATAAAACTTAAAAAAATAAGATAGCTTAAAAAATAATATACGGTAGTGTTTACTAATAGATGAATAGTATATAAATTCTATTAAAATGGATTTGATCCAAAAAAATATAAAACCAAAAATAATTGTTATAATTTAAATGAAGAAGTAATTTAAAACGATTTTATTTATGATCAAATTTTAATGCGGCTAACTGCTTTTCACTTAATTTCCTTTTTGGTTTTACTGGTTTTTCTTCGGCGCTCTGCGCCAAGATGGACTCTCTGAGTCCTCCTGTTTTTGATGTCTTTAGTTCTGTTAATATCTGCTCACGAATTTCTTTTTTGATGGCTTCAATATCTAATCCCTGACTCATTTGATTACCGATAAAAAATTCAAAATTTAAAAATTTTATTTGAATTAAATATGAGCCTATCAAAATCTGAGAGACAATCGATTATATTAAATGATGCAAGAGGAATTCAGCATCCATTATATTATGTATCAACAAGTAAAGATGGAAAAATTTATGTAAGAAAAAGACGAGTTCCATTAACGAATTCGGAAACTGAGAAAATAGATATAAAACCTAAACTTGAAACAAAAGCGGAAGACAGTGAGGCTGTCAGGACAAAGCCCACGATAAAGGAAACGGAACCTAAACCAGAACCTAAACCCGATGTACTTTCGATAACGAATCAAGAATTAATAGCTAAATTTGTAAATTTCATTGAAAAGCAAACGGAATCAAAAAATCCAGACCCACCAGTAAAAGAGCAGGAAACCAAAATTAATGAAGAGTTTGTGAAAAACGTAAAATATGAAATTATTGAACAAAAGAAACAAATTCCTCAACTAAGAAGAAGAGTTAGAATATTAAACTAAATAAATATTTTTATCTAACATAAAACATGCAAAACGAACAGCTTAACGAATTTACACCAGCTGAACATATCCATCAAATTTGTTCATATTTTGATGTAATCGATAATGCAATTAATATTGGTGATACTAATAGAAGATATATCGATGCAAAAATTCCATCACAACCAGGAAGCGCAAAGGATCATAACTGGGTCACATTCAATTTATCTCCGCCAGGTGAAAATATGCTAGACCTTTATAACACATTCCTTACAACTACCTATAAAAGTAAATATATCCTGGATAATGCTATTACTGGCTCATCAATTCCAAATACTAATTCTCCAGGTTTCTTTGGCGTTTTTGATGAATCAATTTACACCATTGAAGCATATCAGTTATTAGCAAATGGAAGAGTTATTTATAGTCAGGATAACGCAAGAGAAGAAGCATATATCATTTCTAATTCACAGACTACAGAACAAATAAAGAAAGTTGATGTTTTCTCAAAAACGAGACATAAAGATGTATGGAAACGTTCTGGAACAGTTCGAACAGGTCAAATTATCTCAGGACCTTTAGCTGCAGGAGCTGAAATTAATTTTGACATTAAAATAAAGATTCCATGTCGTAAATTCCTTATTCTAGAAGTTATTAGATTTATTCCTGCTTTTGCAGGCAACATTCAGTTAAAGGTTAAATTTAGTAGCGATGCATTCCAGGTAACAGCACTGCCGGTAGAAGATATTTTAGCTCATAATCCTTCTTTAATCAGTCAGGTAAAAGATAATTATGACCCACCAACTAATAAATTTGTTCCATGGAATGAACCATTCAATATGATAACAGCAGTTTCTAAATCAAATGGTGAAATTACTGTTTCAACAGTTGAACAAAGATTAACGAAGAAATCAGCTGAATTCATTGATTGCTTCATTCATCCTAAAGCATTTTCACTCGATCCAAATATTTACACTGAATTAGTCGATCATTATACATCACAAGCTTTATGTTTTCCAATTAAAGTAATGGACTGGATTCCTATGGACGGTTCGTTCAGTAAAGGTTCACCATCAGCAACTTTCACAGCAGCTTATACACCAATTAACGTTAAAAGCATTTGGGCTTTATTTAGGAAGAATGATAATTATATCGTGAATTTCGAAAATCCTCAATTTGAAACCCTTCAATTATCAATGGGGCTTATGGAAGTATGCCAGCTGAACCCGAAAGCTCTTGGTCCTGTGTTCTATGAAATGGTTGCTAATGCATGCAATACAAATAACGATATGATAGGATTTAATGAAGATGTGATGAGGTCGTTAATTGATGATGGAAGCGTTAAACATTTATATGAATCATACGATAACACTCATTTCCTCTGTGGATTCCCTACGGAAACTGATTTCACATTTCAACAGGGTCAAACATCAACGGCACCAATTACATATAAATTAGGTGTTAAAGCTGATGATACAAATATAAGCGAAAAATACACTGTCAAACCTTTATTAGGATTTCTTAGAAATGCTTGTTTCGCTATTCAAGTCAGACCAGCTGGCATTCCTGCTGTTAGAATTGATGATTATAATTTAGCTGCTGATGGAGGTGAAGAGTAAAAAAATAAATGTAGTTAATTTTTAATTTTCTGATTTTTTTATTTTTATAAAACGATGGAAAATAATAACTGGGAAACGTTAGTTGCTGATGAAGATTACGAAATTAACACAAAATATCCGTATCAAATAAGAAGAAAGAAAAACGGAAAGACTGTCAGTGAGTATGAAGAAAAGAATGGATATATAAGATTAACCCTTAACGGTAAAAAATATCTTAAGCATAGATTAATAGCTATTCAGTGGATTGATAATCCTGATAGTTTTGGGGAAGTTGACCATTACGATAAAGTTAGAAATAATAATAAGATTGATAATCTACATTGGTGTTCAAGTTCTACAAATAATAGAAATAGAAGTAAAGCAAATGGAGTAGAATATAATTTCGTTGATGAAATCAGTGAAAATTCAATTACTGTTTCACATTATGGAAATCATGAATTTGAGGATTTATTTTACGACATCGATGCAGATTTGTTTTATTATTATAACGGTCGTCAGTATAAAGAACTATACATTAATGAAAACATAAATGGTTCATTATATGTTAACGTTTATGATGTTAATGGAAAAAGAACATGCATTACGTATAGTAAATTCAAACGCTTACATAATTTAATATGAAAAGTTTATTTTTGTCTTGAACGATAAAAATATATTATATCATTATTACAGATCATCTTCAGAACTTTAATTTCCTTATGAAAGTATTTTTAGTCGTTATTGAAAAGTTAAACTTCTCTTCAAAACAGGGTGCTGTTGATTTGCATAAATCAAATGCGATTTCCTGACCATCGTGAAGGGCTTGATATAATTTCATTATACTGAACTCAGAATCTTTATCATATTTTCCAACAGGAATATGAATGTTCTTATCTTCATTATAATAGCATTGTACTGCGTCAGGAAACATTTCGTTAGCGGTTAAAGCAATGACATCTTGTTTTACGCCTTTCATACGTGCATGAAATGCAACTTCACCAATGTCATTTATTAAAAGGTCTATGTAAGTCTTCTTTCCACAAAATATCGACTTGTAAGCTAAACTTTGTTTATCTTTTGTGATTTCTGCAAAATCTGAATGAAACTGACCTAAATTCTTTCCTATTAATTCACGACCATATCTTTTCTGAAATTCCCGAGCTAAACGTGGTATGTCTTCATTGAAAATATGCATGCTATCACAGTCCTGGTAGAAGATTTGAAGTCCCATATCCTCAGCAGTGCAAAATACTTCATTCATGATACGTTTCGACATAGATAAGATATTAACACCTAAGGGGCAAAAGTTAAAGTGTCTGCAAATGCTTTTAGTTAGTTTGAAAATAGTTTTATCCGAACCATCTAAACCTTCAAATTTAATGATATGGTTATAATTTCTGATGGCATACCTAACAGCATCTTTATCATCAATGATTTTAATTTTCGACTCTATCGGGAACAAAATAGTTTTTCCATAAATACTGTTCAAAATTAATTTAATATTTTCTTGTAGCGGATTTTCTTCCTTCTTATACTTTAATCTCAATTCAAACAATTTCTTTACTTCATCTCTTATTCTAAAATCTCTTTTTTCATCGTAGTAGTAACCCTGTAATACTTCGCAGCTGATGCCCTGATATTTTATTAAATCCTGCAAAGCTATGTGGTCCACATACATTAAACAGCATGTGTTAGAACTTCTTGGAACCTTTAGCTCCGGGTTTAATTCTGGATCTACTGTTATTAATGGAAAGTGCCTTTTAATCTTAATCTCGGTTATTTTTATTAAAACAAAGAATCCGGAAATGAATTTCTCACCTTCAGGCTCGCCCTGGTCATCATCGAATAAATGTTTTAACAAATATTCACTGTTTAACATTTCTTTCTTCATAACCTTTGGAATTCCTTCTAAAGTATAAAGTCTCGCAGTAGCTGAGGGATATAATGAAACAGCATCGAAGTCAGCAATGAGTTTCTTTTCGCTCTTTTGCGCTCTCTTGTTATCTGACAGCATACATCTTCCACCTTGAATACAGCGTGAAATAAATTCTCTTGGTTTATTTGAAAGGTCATATAAATTTCCATTCGGGAAATATACTCTGTTTTCGAAAAGTTTGTTAGCGATTGAACAAATGCTAACGTAATCATAAACGTTTAAATCAAACTCTTTCAATATATCATTTCTGAACTTAACAAAACCTTCTCTTAAAATCCTTACGTCCTGTTTGCAATAAAATGAGCTATATTTTTCTAAATCGAAATGGTTTTCATCTATTCTGCAGTTTTCGATTAAATCTATGTTTTTCATGAACGTTTCAATATCTTTTACAAACTTACACGCTTCAGAAATTACGCCAGTTTTGTTATCATTAACTAATAAAGAGCTTGAATAATATTGATACGGAAATACTTCCTTTTCACCACACTGCAAATGAAACATTTCAGGAAATAGTTTAAGCTTCTTATTTATAACAGTGTATGAATCTTTAATAATGATTGCTTTACCTTTATATATTCCCGTTATCTGCATTGTTCTAGAACCCTTAATAATTGGTGTTCCGCTAATTTCTGTTAAATGTCTTAAAATGAAATTGATATCATAACTGAGGTTATGAAAATATATTAAACTTTTATCAGGAATTCTTTCTAAAAATTTTGTTGCACAATTTTGACCCCAAATGCTTTCGCTAATCTTTCCATCTTCACTATCATAACAAATGTTAAAGGCTTTATGAACTCCATCAGTGCTACATTCAAAGTCAGCGAAGAAAATGTGTTCAGGAATGAATTTTTGTTTTGATTTATCACTATCTTTACTTTCAGACTTTTTCTTTAACTGAACACAGTAGTTCGGGGTATAATTTAAATCTTTAAACGGTGCAAGTTTTTGTTTATATAAATCTGTTGTATAAGTGAAAAGTTCACCATAAGATAACGGTTCAAAGTAATTGCACTCTCTTAATGTTTTCAAAATATCCCATAAAGGAGTTGTTCGCGTAGAATCAATAACAAATCTATTTTCCCTTTTCTTATATATTTTCATTTGACGCTCAATATTCCAGCCGCCTAATGATTTGAGAATTTCGTTATAATTTATGATAAAATATGTTGTCATAGGTAATCTTTCATTTAACATGTAATGGTCTTCAACAAGAAGTAAGTCAATAGTTCGAACAGTTTCACATTCTTTTGGTATATATCTCTTTATTTCATTATGTCTAGAGTCATTGAAATAACCAATGGTAACATTAAATGCTATGCCTGTTGCGTTAGAAATTTCCTGAATCTTACTTTGTGGAAAATCTCTAACTCTAATAACTTCACGCATGTGGTCTACCGTCTGCTCATCAACTCCAGCCTGAATGCAAGCATAAACGAAGCAGTTATCTTCTGTCATCAACTTAGCAGTTCTTTTGTTAAGTTCATTGAAAATTTGATAGCGTTCAAGATTTATAGGTAATCTGCAAAGATACTTCCAAAACTCACCGCTTCTCTTTTTATTCGTTCTCTTTTCATCAAGAATTTCATTCCAAAAATCATCTATATCCTGTTTATCCTATTTCTTTAAGTCTGTTTAATAATCTTTGCTGACGTGCTGTTAATTTGCTTTCATCTCTTTTTTCTCTCTTCTGTGGCTTACCTTTCTTAATATCGCTCATCGTTAATCCTTCATATTCGGTTAAATCATACATTTTAATTTCTTCGAGGTTCTTAATATTTGTCATGAAGAAATCATAATGTTTTTCAATTATTCCGGCTGCGTTTGCTTCAATCTCTGTTATAAAGTTTTCTTGCTTTAACTGATGAAGCAAAGCTCCGATGTTCTCGATATTCAATGTTGAATTAGTAAATTTACCATCGAGTTTATAACAAATCATCCATTTTTGCTGTGAATTTACTTTTATCTTCTGCAGAAGCCTAATAAACATTTTACCGAAACGTTCATGTAGGTAATTTCTGTTTTCTTCATTGAGTTCACGAATATTAAAATCTATGATTCTATTTCCTGCTTTAACATTTTTGCGTTTATTATTTTCATCCTTCTTTAACCATTTTTCGTCATCATGAGCTTTATCGTCTATAGATTTAATAACTTCGTTTGCTTTGCGTAATTGTGCAAATGCTTTTGCATACTTTACAGCTATATTTTTCTTTTCTTCATCGCTTTTCTTCTTTCTCGTTTCCCCAACACTAACATTAGTTATATCGTGCATTTCCTGCCTTACTTCTTTTGGTACCGCTGTCCGTGTCCTTCCTACATCAACATTAGTTATATCATACATTTCTTTTCTTACTTCCTTCGGTACTGCTGTCCGTGTCCTTCCTACATCAACATTCATCATATCATGAATTTCCTGCCTAACTTCCTTCGGTACCGCTTGTTTATGATATAAATTAACCTGAACATCGTTTAAAGGAAATGTTTTGTTATTAATGTAATCATTAATTTTCTCGTAAGTGACTACACCTCTGTAATCATTGAGGTATTTAGCTAATGACGATTTGTTAGTCGCATATCTTTTGCTAACTTCAATGTCAGCATTCTTCAATAACTTCTTAATTTCTTCATGGTCTAATCTAGATAGCTTTTTATACATCTTTTATGGAAAATAAAAAAATATTTTCCGTAAAAAATATAATTTAAAAATAAACTTAATTTTTTTAAATAATTTATATTTTTAATTTTAATAAAATAATGTCTGAGTACAAGTTCTATTCATACAATGCTCTCGCTACTGCTGTTAAGGGTGAATTCATAAATGGAAAAAACGTGAACGTTATATTCAATAAAAAGTCTGTGAAAGAATCTAAATACGGTCAGTTCGTTAAACCATACGCTATCATTATTGACAGAAAACGTTACACACCACATGAAATAGCAGTATTACTTAAACAAAGAGGAATATTTGTAAATATCAAAGATACACACTATACGATTATGAAGAACTCTAACGTTGAATTTTTCAGCATCGCCTTAGATTTATCACAGCAGAAAGAATTCAAGAAGGCGCAAGGCGCCGAGATGGGCTCAAAGAGCCCTCCAGGTGAAGTAGTTGTGAAATATTATCCTTCATCTCTGAAGACAATAACGAATAAAGATATAATCAATAAGCTCCTACCAGTAATTGAGGAAGCAACGATTGAATATGAAGAAGAAGGAAGTGAAGTAATTGAGGAAATAGACCCTGAAGCTTTATAAGAAAATTTATTTTTGAATAACTGAAGGTGTCACCACGTCACCATGTCACCAGGTTAATTAACTTCTTTTAAGAATGATGACAACATGACATTTAGACAACAGGTACGAAAGGAGGAAGGCATTTATGAATTATTTTTGTAAATAATTAGTTACGGTCAGTCAGTTAGTCAGGACCTTCGGTCCTGGCGCTTTGCGCCGTCAGTAAAATTTACACCAAAAATATATTTTAGTTGAAAAGGTTAGATCTAACCCGATATCTACCCTCATTTCTACCCCTTGAACTTTTTATAACATTCGGTCATTAATTCATCAATTTCATTTAAATCACGATTTAAAAACTCATTGACTTCATCTTCAACCGTGTCATCCTGTAATAAGAATATTTTCTTTAATTTCATGTCAACATCCCGAACAGCACAAAGGATAAAATCATATTCATTTCTTCCGTTAAACATTTCTTTTCTTTCTCGTTCATCGGTAAATAAATTATTGAAAATATAAACAGTGGTGTAAAAGTTATGTACTGTATTAAATGTTGAAGCTTCACCTATTTTAGATTTTAGGATTCTTTTAGTAAGTAAATTGTTATCGTTCTTTCTCTTTTCCTTATCGTTCATGTCGAATCTGTCGAACCACATATCCTGTATTTCATCGAATTTACGAACTATAGAATCCGTCATTTCCCTGGTTAATGAGGGGTAATCATTATTAATTTTTTCCTATAATCTGTCCATATGATTTTCATCGACGTTTCCGGAAAACATTTAATTAAAGCAAAAATATATTTTAGGGTAGATGGTTAGATCTAACCCGATATCTACCCTCATTTCTACCCCAGTTATTTTATAAACGTTTCACATGATATACGTTATGAATTCGTGAAATTTTAAATATTTTTGTAGCTTCTATTTCTTCAGTTAATATATCAAAAGTTTTAACGATACCGAAAGTTTCTTTATACTTCTTCTTAACATCAGATAAAAGGAAATCATCGGCTGTGGGATAGTTTTTATTCAGAAATTCTAACATGTCCATTTTATCTTCTGCTGGTTTCTCTGCCTCCCTCTTTAAATCTTCGTAATCGTTTCTCATTCTTTCTATCTCTTTTACTGAATAATTATATTTCCTAATTGCTGCTTTACATTTCGAACACTGAGGATTCATTTTTGCGTTATATTCTGAGACCTTACCTGCTAAAATAACTAAAGCAGCAATGGCTTTCTTTAAATCTGAAGCAGTTGGTTTTATCTGTTCATGCCATACTTTACCTCTTCTGTCTTTATCTCTAATCTCCCACACACATCTAGCAGCTAATGAAACAAAGTTATCGTATGTCTTAAATTCCTCAGATTTATAAATATCTGAAATGTTTTTATAAATCATGTCGCAGTCTTTATCCATAACTTTGTGGTTACAATGAAAACCTAAGAATTCAGAATTTACCTTACGAATGAATTTCTTAATTTCTGCAGAATCACTAACTTTAACTTCAATTTCATCGAATTCAGGAACAGTCAGTTTCCGTTGCTGGATTTCAGGTAATTTAGGTAAATGGTCTATGATATCTTGCATTTCATAAAGATATTCTTCATTTTCTTCATCCTGTGCGGTACAGTCTAAATTACTTGTTAAAAGTTCCTGCTTTATTCTTTGTATTTCTGTTTCGAAAGTAAATGAAGAAGGAATGAAGTTTTTCATTTCTACTAACATTGACGTAGGATTCATGACTAATGAATTTGGTGCCGTTGATGTCGAAAGTGCGGATGTTTCGATTTTTGTAATCATATCTTTTATACCAAATAAAAAAATAAAAATAAAATAAAAATTAACTTTTTTTTTATTTCGGGAAAATTCATGAAAATTCATGAGGGTAGAAATGAGGTTAGATATCGGGTTAGATCTAACCTTTTCAACTAAAATATATTTTTGGTGTAAATTTTACTGACGGCGCAAAGCGCCAGGACCGAAGGTCCTGACTGACGGCACAAAGTGGCTTAACGAAAACATTAATATATAAAATTCATGAAAATTCATGAGGGTAGAAATGAGGGTAGATATCGGGTTAGATCTAACCATCTACCCTAAAAATTATTTTTGGTCATGGGCTATGCCCCGCCGCTTTGCGTCTTTATGTTAAAATAAATGGTTCATTTACTCACAATATTTTTGTACAAAACGACCCCAAACTTTTAACTTCTTTTCTGCAGCTTCTAATGCTATCTTAGCGAGTTCATATTCTCTAAATTCTCTCTTTAAATCTTCTTGTTCCCATTGGTCTAGTTCGTATGGAGAATCTCTATAACCATAACATATCTCACGTTCATGTTCTAATTGTTTTTCGCACATTTTTCTAACTTCTTGTTCGAACAAAGGTTTAGCATTCTCTACTGTATCTTCAAGTTCTTCTTCATCTAATTTCTCATGAACTTTCTTATCTATGGAGTCCATAATATCTTTGACATAAAATGCATACTTTACAGAGCACCATTCAGCAACAAAATGAACGAGGTCAGGATGTATGTAAATACATTTGAATTCATTCATGACACCCTTTGTAAGCTCATAAAATGCTTGTTTTGAGGTTAAGCCATTTTTGGCTTGACCGTATTCGTTCATCCAAAACTCAAGAATTTCCCTCATTTTAGCACTATTGAGAAATCTGTTTAAATGGTTTAACTTTCCTGCTTCTCTTGCCATCTTTGTTGCATTAATGTAACCATCCTTGTCTCTACGTAAGACTTCAATACCGTTATAAGTTCCTTTTGTGAATGTTTCGCCATTAGATTTGTTCGTGAATGTTTTTGCTTCGACTGACATTTCTGTTCTTACATACAAAATAAAAAAAATAAAAATAAAAATAAAATAAAAACTAACTTTATTTTTTATTTCGGGAAAATTCATGAGGGTAGAAATGAGGGTAGATATCGGGTTAGATCTAACCATCTACCCTAAAATATATTTTTGGTGTAAATTTATGAAAACATAAACGAAAACATTAATATATAAAATTCATGAAAACATTTATGAAAACATTAACGTAAACATTTACGAAAACATTTATTTCCGGGCTAGTTGTCTAAATGTCATGTTGTCATCATTTTTAAAAGAAGCTAATTAACCTGGTGACACATGGTGACGTGGTGACACTGAAAACATTTACGAAACATTTATGAAAACATTAACGATAAAATATATTTCTGCAGTTCATCCGCTACTTTATTAACTAATTAATTACAGACATAAAATATATTTAGTTCATAAAAATTTTTTGATTAATTTTGGCTTATTTTTATCCTTCCAGTAATCCTTTTCGAGTTCCGATAAATGTGTGGGGTTCGATTCTCTCAAATTTCTAGAAGGAATTTTATCATCCACACCTCCTTCATAAATGACAGTGTATTCATCTTTGTCTTCATCATAACTCACAATTTTATTAACTATACCTCTTTTTGCTTCATCAACCGTCTTAGCTAATCTTCCATTTTCGCTTTCAACTAATCGAAATCGCAGATAAAACGCAACCGAATGGTCAGCTGCTTTAATTAAATAACCATTACCCTGTGAGGAATCAACAATGTAATAATCATCACTTAACTGATTTCTTACCTTTTCGTGTGGTTTATGTTCAAGAATGATTCTAACTTTAGTTCCTGGCAGTAATGATGAACTTCTTCTTTCCTCCGTTAACATTCTCTTTTGTTTTATGTATTCATCCTCCTCTTTTGAAGTCATTTCGTTTGGTTTAAATCCTGTGCTGTTATGGGTGGACTTATTGTACGCATTAATGACTTTATTCATTGATTCCTCCGTAAAATCTCTTTCTTTATTTAAATCTCTTAGCGTTCTAATGAAACGATTAATGATTCCTAAAATATTATGGTTATGGTCTTCAGTCGTATAATGAGTAACGTTATGTTTAATCAAAAATTCTGTAATTTCATTACTGAGGTATGCACCGTCTTGGTCTGAAGTTAATGAAGTAGGATGATGTTCTGCCACAAACGTCTGCAAAACTCTTAAAACTTCTTTTGTTCCTTTATTTTTCATTATATACGCAAAAGCTTTACGTGTATTAACATTAATGAAAATCAAAAATGGTGGCTTTCTTCCTTTCTTACTCTGAACGAGTGTATCAAATTGATATGCATCATGAGTTTTCGAGTAAATGGGAAGGTAATAATCGTAAGGATTAACTTTTACCTGATGAACTATATTTTCATCATAAAATCTCTTAATTTCTGTTCTATCATTAAATCCCGCATTCTTTGCAGCTTCATAGAATTTTTTAAATGACCTCCACGGTGATGATTCGAAAACTTCTTTTAAACTCATTTATGTAAAAATAAATTTAGTAATTTCATGCTGTTCGCTCTTTTGGAGCTCAGGACTTTCAGGCCGTTCTAACCCATGCATAAACTGTAATATACGGTGGCATATAATCTGCACCCGAGCCTGTTGGATTTGTTGTGAAAGTGTGTGAATGATTTCCTCCTGGTTCAGTTGGTCGAAAAGTCTTTTTTGCTGAATTGTTATAAGATGGAGATAAAACGTCATTGCCAGCTTCATAGTCTGAGTTGTATAATGGGTGGTCTCTTAATGAGTGGCTATGGTCGCCAGAAAAGTTTGTAGTTCCTGTATGAGTGTGCGCAGGTAAGTTTGCTTCTTTAATTTTCTTTGAGCCTCCTGTTTGCTTTGAAGAGTTAGCACAGTATAAGAATTTGTCTACAATCTGCTGCCACGTACCAAAACCAAACTTGCGGGATTTGTTGAGTTCATTGACGTATAAATAGAGCCTATAGGATATAATGTTTGAAGTATTTCAGTCTTTAATGTTTGAAGCTCTGTTTTGTCAGCTTTCTTATCATATAAATCTTGAGCAGTGAATTTAACATTATTTTCATCATCCATGACATAAACATTTTTACAGCTAATGTCTTTCTTCGTTGTTTATGTTTTCATTCGATGTTAAACCTTGTGGAAAGTTAGGAGGTTTATAATATAATGCATCCCCACCAGTTCCGCCAACCGTTCCTTCAATACTTTCTATAGCAACAGTTGAGAAGGAGTTATGTGTATGTTCTTTATCTGCTTTTTTATCTAACATTGCTGGTAGTTCATATGTTTCAAAGTTTCTGACATGACCTTCGATTTCATACATTTGTTATTTAAGGAGTTTAGTGTATCTTTTACGCTTGTACTTGGATTCTCTAAAGGTGCACTTGAACCAAGGGTATAGTTCAATATTATGTCGTCTGCTCTAACAGTAGTGAAGGATTCATGTGTATGGTTCTTGTCAGCTTTACTATTTAATGTAGCTTGAAGTTCATTTATATCGGAGATATTGTGTTTATGAGATTTCAAAACTTTGTTCGTTGCGTCAAGTTCATCTTTGTCAGCTTTACTTTTAATAGCATCTTCAAAAGTTATTTTTGCCTTAACTCTCAAAGTAAATCTTGGTTCAACTAATACACCGTTAACAAAGAAGTATGAAGCATAAATTTCATTGTTATAACCAAATGCTTCTGGTGCTTTACCTGTGTCATACTGTACAGTACAGCGTATGTCATAACCTTCAGCACGAATGAATTTATATCTTCTTTCATTAACATCTTCCGTCTTCACTTCTTCATCCTGTGTTAAATATCCATGATAATCCGTTATAATCTGTTCATCTGAACTTATATAATGAACATGGTTTTTATCTGCTTTATTATCTAATTTCTCATTAACATCATTCACCTCTAATTCAACTCTTCCGCCAGAACTCTTATTATCATTAATCTTTTTCATTAATTCAGTAATTACGTCATAAAGACTATATTCTGTTTTCGGTTCTGTAAATAATGAGTCAAAATTTCTTTTCATCATTACATCACTTACATTAATGATATCAGCTATACCTTTTTCATTTATTCTCTTCATTAGTTCTGCAATAATGACGAATATATAATCTGTTAATTTATTCTCTTCATCAAGGGTTATAGAATGATTTGAAATCGAATCATTAACACCTCTAAATAAATCAATAACTTCAGGATACACGTTTTTAATGTCTCGAATAACCTGACCCGTATCCTCTGGTTTCTCCTCTTCTTCGTGGGCTTCGCCCTCGCCGCTACGCGGCTTTATGTCTCTAGCCATCATCAACGCAGCCATAACCGGAGGGTTTGTTGCTACCTGTTCGAAAATCTGTCCGTTATGTATGGTATATCTAAATAATTTCTTTGTGTTTGTTAAAACATTTGAAACAAGTCTTTTAAAACCATCTACAAAATTTCCCGTTTCACCTAATGTTCTTGCAGCATCTACAAGCTCACCCATTCCCGCTTTTGACCCCAAAAACGTCCATATTGCATTTATCTCACTCTGTATCGTTGTCCATTCAGCGAAACTAACACCCGCATTCGCTAAGTCGAAAATGAAACCCAGTGGATCGAACTTAATTCCGCCTTCTTTTTCAATTTCAACGAACTCACTAACATGAGATTTTAAATATTCTTTCGTTAAAATCGTTTTTCCTGATGTCATGCTGTTAACGGAACTATCACCGTCAAAAGTTAACGAATTCAATTTCGTCATTGATGCTTTTATTTCATACACCGCTTTATCTATAGTTTTTAACTCACCTTCTTTAGAAGTGTATGAAACATTAATGAATGAATTATATGTATTCATGAATGAGTTAAAATCAATGATTTTCATTAATGAAGCTTTTAATGATTCATTAACTGTTGAATCCCTTAAAGCAATTAATGAACTGTCATTTATGAAAGGTACACTGCAAACCGTCGAGTTTGGATCAAATGCTGTAGTTGGTGCAGGAGTATTAATTATATAAGTCATTAAATCATTAAGTGACGTAAATAATGTTGTTGTTTTTGATTTAATTTCTTTAGCATCTGTTATATACGGTAATTTTATTTCTGTAGTTTCTGAATTAAAGATATTCGCTAAAATGTTTTGTAAACTGTTTTGAACAGCTGTATAAACCGTTGAATTCGGAACTCTTACGATTTCACCGTCCTTAATAAAGGGCATTGTACATGGCGTAGTGCTTGGGTCAAATCTTTCGGGATTATAATTCAACATATATTCTAATGCTTCATAAACAGACCTATATACTGTTGTGTTATCTTTTTCAATAATTTCACCGTCCTTTATGAAAGGCATTGTGCATGGCGTTAATATTGGAATGAATTTTTCAAATTCTTTCCATGAGATATAATGTTCAGTTTTTCCATCAGTGATAATTAAATGCTCATCATCAAATGAAAATGTGTATGAACCGAAAATTAATCTTTTCGCTCTATCAGCTTCATAAGAATATGCGGATATACTCATATTTTTAATTAGAATAAAAATGTTGTTCTATTTGCAAAGTACTGATCCTAATGATTACGGGACATTAAAATTACAAACTAACCTTGGTCTTCAGAATGAACCACTAGCTTTCAGAGTTGTTGACTTCAATACTATCGCTTCATTTGTTATAACAGACACTAACGATTTCATTACATTTGAAATTGATGGTATTAGTACTGAAATTCATTTTAAAGCAAGAAATAAATATGATATTGATACGTTAGAGAAAAAGATTCAGGATCTCATTGATGAAAAATTTAACGGAGCCCTTAACTGTGAATTAACTGATTCAGGAATAATAAAATTTAGTTCCGAAAAAGAATTTAAAATTACTGATATGACTCATCGAGCACGTTTATTACTAGGTGCTTATCATCAAGAATTACCATTGAAATCTTCTATTGAAAATCAGAAATATATAATTGAAATGAAATCTGCACCCTACATATGTTATGGAAACTGTTTATATGTTGAATCAAAAATAAGTAATGTAACAGGAATTTCAGGAGTTAATAATAAAAATTCTGTTATAGAATATAAATCGTTCTGTTACGCCGTTAATTCTGTATTCATGCCTAATTTTCCGATTTTATTAAGGCACGAAGGCAAATGGGTTCGAATTCAACCACACCATTTAAAAGATATGACATTTAGATTAGTTGATTTTCAAGGCGAACCAATTGAAATTAAAGCTCCTGTGCAGATGACTATAGAAGTTGATTTTTGGTCTAATATAAGAGCTAATGGACTAGATGATGAACCAGGTAGCCGCTACGCGGCGGGGCTTCGCCCATAAAAATATAAATCTTAAATTAATTCGTTAAAACATATTTCAAGCAAAGTTTATATTCTGTTGAAAGTTTTGTGTATTCATTCGAATATTTATACTTAAACTCAACTCCTGTAGTTCCTGGTGTTTCGATTATTCTAATACTTACCGATTTTCATAAATACCGGTATCTGACCACAACATTCGATTTCAGGGTCGAGATAATCAATAACGCACTGTTTCCCTGTTATTCTTGATATAATATTTTCTAAATCCTCCTTTGTTAAAATTATTTGATTCTTACTAATAAGATTTGTCAAAAGCTTCTTATCGTCTTTGAGTAAAATTGTTTGGTATAAATTAAGGAGGTAATGGTCTACGTTATCTGAAGGATTAGTTTGAATGTTTGAATATGGATTGTCGTTGGCATCTCTTGAAATTATAGGCTCTAATGGAGGTGGATATTCTAACTTAACTTCACTGTTATCGTTTGCACTTGAAGGATTTCAGTTCTGGCTCTTTATCTTTCAAGTTCTCAGAACTATAATTTTTGATTATAATATTATTTGTCGTTCTTGAATCAACATTAGATGTAGGTTCAATAGGAACATTCACTGCATCGGCTAAGATGGATTTACTTCTCATTTTCTAAAGAATAAAAACCTTTTATTACTATAAAAATGAATAATATCTTTGATAAAGGTTTAAACGTGAAACTTGAAAATGAAAATCTTGTTGAATTCACTGAAACGGGTGCAGTTTATAAAGATGTTGAGGTGTTAAATAAGAAATCAAAAGGCAGAAGTCGAAATATGAACATCGATTATAAACCATTTACTATTTACGTAAATGATGGTTCTGGTGGTTCAAATATTAAATATGCAGAAAGTAATAGAGTTTATGCGTTAAAAGGTGAAGCACCATCGATTAAAAACAGTTATTCTAATCTTTATCCTCAAAAACTGACTGATCCAGAAAGTGTGGACATGAATGACACCAAAAATATAAACAGAAATGGTGATAGAGATGGATGGAATCTATTCACTACACCTCATCTAAAAATAAAGCTTTAAAATAATGTTGGTCTTTCCCAAGGTATATTTTTAACATTAATTGTATTAGTCATTATATGAATTTCTAAATATGAACGTGGTGAAATGAGTGATTTATAAGCATCCCAGATTTCATCAAAAGGTAATGTTTATACCTGATTGCTTCCAAATTAATTCTATATCGTATTTTGAGAAACCTTGAAATATAACGAAATCAGTAAAACGTTTAATGTTTAAAGCTAAAAACCTCCACGTTTGCATAAGTATTGCTACAGTCATGTGATAATGTCTGACTTTAGTAATTAAATTAGCTAATGGTGAATCTGGTTTTGAAACTAAACCTTTACCAGCGAAATCATCACAAACTAATAAAGTGTTTGATGGATATTTTTTAAAAGGATATTTTGAAAGTTTGAGAGAATGTAGTTTGTAAGTCTTTTCATATCATACGTACCATCCTGCTGTCTCAAATGATGTTTATCAATAATTCTTTCCATTTCTTCCGAGGTCTTTTGCATGCCAGATTGTATAAATTCAACTATTGCATAATATTTCTTCTTTCTTCTTATATATTGTTGAAGAAAAGAAATTAATTCGCTATCTGGAACTTTAATTACTGATGCCTGACCTTTATCCATAAACGTTTTCGCTGTTGAATCCATTGAATCTGAAGTTGCTGATATAATGATTTGGTCATAATATGAATCTTGACCTAAACGTTCAGTAATTAAAATATGACGTATTAAATTAAAAGTCTTTCCCGAACCCATTTTTCCGCAATAGAAATACACACCGTTTGAACAGAACTGATAATCCTTACTGAAGGGAAGAATTAAAGAACTATTGAGTTTATCAGATTTTTCATTCATTTTTTCATCTACTTCTTCAAATAAATGTTTCATTTTATTATAATTAAAAATGCAAGTCAGAAATTTTGTTAATACCGTTCCCAGTCTTAATGATAAAAGTATTAAAATCTATTATGAGCACATATTTTCACAACCGTTTAAAATAATCAATGGTGAATACATTTATGAATACCCTAAACACTGGGTTGATTATAACACTGGCGAAAAAGCAATTGAAATAAGACAGATAAAAACCATTCCTGCAGGACGAACCATTGAATTATATAACTTTGGAATAATAAGAGATAATCATCAATATGATTTACAGATTTATATAGATTTAGACACAGGAGATGATATGACAGCATTTAATAAAAAGATTAAATCGGTTCTTATTGAACAGTTAAAAGGTGCCGGATATCCTCAACCTAATGAAGTTGATATGTTTTATAGTTTTGAAACTAATTCAATAGAATTTCGTGTTAATTCAAATTCAAAAGCTGGTTTCATATTTGATTTAAAAGATAAGCCGCTTAGCGGCGTGGACGTAGTCTGTGCTGTCGGTGATGAGATTGAAAATGTATACACGAATAAAAATTTTCAAGAGATTACAGGAATTAATAATGATGAATGCTTTTATCGATTTGCTCAGTTCGGAGCAGAACAGATAACATTAAATGACCTCCTGGAGTACTTACCAAAATCAATTTCCATTAAAAATGATGGTTGTTTATTAACATCAATTTCATTTAATGGTGTTTGGTCCAGAGAAGCGGCAATCATTAAATCAAGTATAAGTGAATTCGCTGAAGATTCTATTTTATGTTTATCAAACTGTTTATATTCTCCGCCGAAGCATTATTCAATAACTAATTATGTTAATAAATTTAATATAAAATTAGTTGAACCATCGAGTCTAAAAGATATTGTCCTTCCTGATGACAGAAAAGATAGTATTATTATCGAACTCATATTAATCGCTTATTAAAATTTAATTATATATAAATGAGTTCAACGACTGAAAGCGCATGGGCTAGTTTTGATGAAGATCCTAAACCGCGGAACTATAATAGAATTGTAATTCCTGTAGGTCTTTTATTAGCTGCGGTGCTGTAGCGGGACCATATTTATATAGAAATTTATATAGAACACCGATTAATTCAACTGCCGGGGCTGATCTTATTCCAACAGGTCTGAAAAAATCTACACCGATTCAAACAAGCCGACACAGGAAAGGAAGGAACACTCACATTAGTCATTAATTATTTAAAGAATAGAAGAAATTAATTTGTAATAAATGACGTCGTTAAATGTAAAAATAATTTGTGATGATATTACTATCATTGATGATGTAAGTGAGTGTGAATATAATTGATAGAATTAATGAACTAATAAAGAGGTTCAGTGGTGAAAAAGTCAGAGTTTCATTAACGTTTAGCTCCGATGAAAAATTTTATGAGTTAATCATTATGAGAAATGATTTTAATAAGCATTAAATGGTATTTTCAACACTATCAGCTTTGTATGGAGGTTATAAAGCTATTGACGGTTTAACTGGTGGAGCTGTATCAAAAGCTTTAAAAAATAATGCTGGAATGCTTGTGGGAGCTGCTGCCAGAAAATTAAAATCTGAAAAGTTAAAGAAATTAGGTAACTGGGTCGCTGACCAGTCGCAAAACCTTTTAGGTGAAGATAATGAAATATCTAAGCAGTTAAAAGATTTTAAAGGTCAGCTGAATGGCGAAGAGTTTAAATTAAATTCACTTAAAGAAAAGGAGAAACAGCCAGAATATCCACCAATTGAGGCACCGCCGATTAATTCAGCACCTGCGCCATCACCAGCACCAGCGCCAGTAACTGCAGTCGCACCATATGACCCTGGCGGTTATGGAAGACCTTTTGACCCTAAAACAGGAGGTTCGAATTGGTTCCATTACGGTCGAAGATATATTTTAGCTAAAATCGCAAAAGCAAAGAAACTGTTAAAAACTAAAAAGAAACCAAGAGTTTTAAAGTAATTAAATGGTTAGAGATGTTCTCGAATACCCTGCACCACCTGAAACGCCTAACAATAATGATTTATATAATCGATTGAAAACTTTAGGTAAAGCGTATTTATGGTTTAATTATCCTTATCATATGGCGGCTTATAAACTTTATAAACACTATAAAGAAAGTAATAGACCTTCAACCGACCTAGTTGATCCGCAGGAATTAAGGAAAAGACGACGAAGCCGCTAAGCGACTCAGATGGACTCAGAGAGTCCTCATAAAAAATAAAGTTAATTTTAAAAATATTTTTTATTTTTTACTTTTAATAAAATGAGTACTAAAATTACTGAAGCAACAAAACAAAAGTTTTTAGTTGAATACATTAAATCAGAAACTATTCCAGAAGGTTTTTATGTTCATCAAATGAAAGATGGTAGAGTTCAATTTAGAAAAATTAAGCAGCCATTAGATAAAAATGGTATTTTGAGAAAGATTAAATTATATGAAGATAATATAGCAGAACTGAAGAAGAAATTAGAAGAATTCGAAAAATCAGATTAAGCTTAGAGATATAAAGATATGAAATAATAAATTTTATTTTTATATAAAATGAATTTTACTAATAAATTATTAATTATTGTTTCATTACTTCTCATCTCCCGTGAAGCTCGTTTATGGTATGAATCTATAAAAGAGTTTGAAGACAGCAGCAATGACATTCCTGAATCATGCCAGCATATTTACTGTTAAAATTCACAAGACTCAAAGGGTCTGAGCCGCTAAGCGGCGAGGTTAGAAATGAGGTTAGATATCGGGTTAGATCTACCCTAAAATTAATTTTATCATTTATGAAAAATTCAGTATATACAGAAATTAAAAAATTTTTGAATTAATTTATTTTTAAGTTTATTTTTTTACTCTGGGTGTTAAAATCTATGATAAAAAAATAAATAAAAAATTTTAACGTTAATTTTTAAAGTTAATTTTTTAAAAATTATTTTTTTTATTTTTGTAAATGTCAAAATATTTTAACGTTAATTTTTAAGTTTATTTTTTTTATTTTGTGAAGTGTCAAAAATTTTAACGTTAATTTTTAAAGTTAATTTTTAAAAATTATTTTTTTTATTTTTGTAAATGTCAAAATATTTTATGTGTCAAACGGTTTTTTGCAGATTCTAGTAATTTGGGGTCTGAGGGGTGTAGACCCTTGGTACCCAATTACTAGATACTAACTTAGCCGCAAAGTCCTAGCGTGTATACAAATACCAGATATGCTGGCAGCGACGACAGCGAACGTTGCGGCTTCCGCCTTCATTGAATTTGGCGCCCCTTATTGTTTCTGGACCGACAACGGTTCAGAAAATAGGGGCGCCTTTCAAGATCTACTTGATCTTTGGGGCGTCCAATGGCGGCATACAGACTCTCATTCTCCCTACCAAAATGGGAAGATTGAGAGATTCTGGCCGACATTGGAGCGCTGCCAAAGCATTCAGGCTATTCCTGCCTTTATTTGGGAGTACAATAATAACACACGGCATGAAGATCTCCCAATTAATCCATTAACTGGAACAAATTACACGCCAAATCAAATGTATCAGCTGAAACCGAAATACACAAATGCAGATATAGAAAGGTTGTGGCAAATATGGGATACAGATACAGGCATGACCGCTGTTGACACATTCACAGCGTAATAATAAACATAATTTTTTAATTTCATTTTTAACAAGTTTTTTTAAATGTATGTAATGAATAATTCATAGAATATGATAATGCACATTGTAACAGAATAGAACAATCACCAATTTTTTTTGAAATTAAAAAATAAAAGTAAAAAGTATAAAGTAATCTAACCAAAAAAGATATTTAAAAGAATTTTGGAAAAAACAGAATAAGGATAATGATATTATTTTAGATACACAATCGATGTACTGAAGAATAATCCGGTAAAATGATGATATAAAATTAGATTATTTTACAAGTAGCTAAAAGAATAAAACTATAATATAAAATAAATGAAGTTTAATGAAACAATAAAGGTTAAATAAATAAGAAAGATTTTTATTTTATATCAGTATTGAGAAGAAGTAACAGCTGACACTTGGTAGACAACTTCTTTATGTCTAGAAAATTCTATCTTGCCTTTTATTTTTTTCTCGCTGTGAAACGTATTCGGTCATTTTTTTAAAAATTAATTTTTTGTTAGAGATAAGAGCTAAAACTCGGTAAACAACTTCTTTATGTCTAGAAAATTCTATCTTGCCTTTTATTTTTTTCTCGCTGTGAAACGTATTCGGTCATTTTTTTAAAAATTAATTTTTTGTTAGAGATAAGAGCTAAAACTTTGCAGACAACTCCCCCATGTCTAGCAAATTTAACATTCGTCTCCCATTTTTATATATTTGGTTTAGAATGTTCGAAAATGCGTAATATGGTCATGAATATTAATTGAAAAGAACCTTGAATTCATTCAATCTGATCTCACAAAATATTTTAAATTACAAACTTTGTAGTTTGAATAGATAATTAGTATTAAACTCAAATAACTAGTTTATTTTTGAATAAAAATTATTTGAATTTATTCAATTTTGTGAATTTTCATTCAAAAATCAAGTTTAAATATCTTATTTGCCATATAATTATAAATACAATGAAACATATTCGAAATTGAAAAGAATGACTTTTTCTGTTCTTTCAATCATTCAATTTGAATTTTGCAATATTGGATTTCCCATTAAATAGCTATTAAAAACAACAAGCAATTTAACTTACATTCAAATTTATTTGTGTTATATTCAATCTTCTCAAAACTTATAATTTTCGGCTATAGCATGATTATATGCTATATAATATAATAAACCTATAATAGTATCATTCTTTCAATTATTTGAAGAGAAAACCGAAAAAATCTATTTTCGGTCTATAACAGTATGAATTTTCAAAATTAATGAATTTTAGGGTTGTACAAACTGGCACGCCTGCTGGCACACCTTTTTTGGCCAGCTGGCACGATTTTTTTAAAAAACACATTAAAAAAGTCACTTTTTGCCCCATCTAATGAGATTTTTTTTACAATTTTTTTCCCCTTATTTTTCAATTTAGATATGATTTTAAGCTCTCCAAATTGAAGTTTACTTGATGTTTCTTAGTTTTTATGATAATAAAATGTTGCAAAGTTAAGTTTGGATTCAATAAATTTAAGAAAATTTTATTTTACAATGAAATTATAAGAAAGGATGTTTTTATCCTATGTCAAAGAGAATACATTTGTAGATCCCGACTTTTGACATGTTTGAAAATTCAAAAAAAAAATTCAAAATTTAAAAAAAAATTAAAAAATATAAATTTCATGTTAAAAAATGATTTTTGAAATTTTTTTGGAAAAATAGAATGTCATATTTTTATGTTTTATTGCTATTTTTTACGAAATCAATAAAATATTTGTTAATTTGGCTGAGATTATAAATAAAATCTTTCTAAATCTTGCAATTGATTGCTAAAATCTGTTTTATGTATTAATTGGCATTGAGATTCGTTATAAAAGAATGCGAATTATTTTGTATGAGTAAACGTATTTTGTAAAATTTCAAATTCTCTTCTCTCATTACTTACCTTAGATCTCTCGGCTTTTAGCTCTCAGATTTCGCTCATAGAACTCAGGTTTTAGTTATGTACTCATAGATGTATCATTACTGCCCGCAGATCTCTCATTACTACCTTACTAACCAGATCTTAACTCTCCGACCTTACTAACCAGATCTTAACTCTCCGACCTTACTGACCAGATCTTAACTCTCATTACTACCTTACTAACCAGATCTTAACTCTCATTACTACCTTACTCATCAGATCTTAACTCTCATTACTACCTTACTCATCAGATCTTAACTCTCATTACTACCTGACTAACCAGATCTTAACTCTCATTACTACCTTACTCATCAGATCTTAACTCTCATTACTACCTTACTCATCAGATCTTAACTCTCATTACTACCTTACTCATCAGATCTTAACTCTCATTACTACCTTACTCATCAGATATCTAATTATTTACATATGATTTCTCACATCTCACTCAAGTCTCATTACTTACCCTATCTTTTTAACCTTTTCTGATAATTACTGAAATAACTAAATCCTTTTTTTAGTTTAATTCTGATATTAAATTTTTAAAATCTCTTTAATTTTTTGAACTACGCCTTTAATTTGTAATTGCCGATTTCACAGATTTGAACCATTTAATAAAATAACATTATTCAACTTAATCATATCAAACATGGTAGTTTGATTTTCAGATCTACATTTTAAAAACCTCTTTATTATCTTGAGTTATACTTTTATTATATAATACCTGAGTTCATAACTGAAAACTCTTAATTAGAGTACAATATTCAACTTAATCATAACAAGATTTGTTGAATTTCAAATTTGATTTATATCTTCCATCACTTAAAACTCTCACAGCTTACAATATAAGCTAAAAAGTATATTTTCATAGTAATAAAATTAATTATTAAATTTTTTACTTTTTCCTTTCCAAAACTAGAAAAAAAAGAAGAAAGAAAAGAGAAAAAGAAAAAAATAATAATGAGCATATTATATAATTGTGGTCATAGGCCGAGTGGCGTGGAAAGGGTGGAGCCCGAAGGGCGACATCCTTTCCACGCCACGAGGCCCGATTTTTGGCCACTTTTTTGATTTTGGCCGCGTGCCAGCTCCTGGCAGGCGGCCCGCAAAATTGTGCCAGTTTGTACAACCCTAATGAATTTTTGTGAAATAGAATTTGTTTGTTTTTCAATGTAATATCATATTTTCTATTTAATTTTTACAAAAGTAGGATAAAAAGTATGAATTTGATTTTATGATTAGTTATTCTTATAGAATCAGAGCTTTCTCATATACAAGTTCACATTTAATCAAATGTGAAGCTAATCCCTTACGTAATGGCTCCTATTAATCATTTTCTGTTCATGTTTAAAGGGACATTTTCCTTGCGTGATGAGAAACCCGGAAATTGTCCTTTTAACAACATCACATCTCAAGCAGTTTGGACAGTATCATCTACTCAACCTGGTAGCGGAATACAAAACCTCTTCGATGGAAATAGAGATACATATTGGCAATCAGATGGCAATCTTCCTCATCAAATCATAGCTCAATTCGCCAAGAAAATGTTCATATCCGTTGTTAAGATTGCTGTTTCAACGCAAGATGATAATTACGCTCCATTACAAGTTGATATCCAGACAGGCAATGATCCAAACAGTATGAATTCTAAAGGAACTTTCGCAATAGAGAATTTTAATGGAGTTAATACATTTCATATTGAAATAGAAGCAATATTTCTCGCGATTTTGATTGTTCGAAATTTAAATGATGGAAAGAATTCAAAAATACGATCGCTACAAGTGTTTGGAAGTCTCAGAACTATCTCTCCCGAACCTTCTTTTGCATTTAAGAAACCAGAACTCGCAATGCATCTTGGAATACGATAAAATACAGGAATTATATGAACGAAAACATTTTACAACATATGTTATAGCATATTAGTTATTATTTCATGTAGATTATTTTCGAAAAATTAAATTCGAATTTATTCGACTAATGATCAAAATTTATGTTTTAATGCTAAAGTTTATACTAAGCTCTATCATTTGGCTGATAGGTTTTCATGATATAAAATTTTGATTTTTAGTCAATGAAAACAACAATAACAACGATTTGCTTAGATCATATACCATTACTCATTGACTTACCTTACTTTAAAAATAAAAAATAATTTAATTAAATTTTTAATTCATTTTTAATCACTTTTGTAAAGCTCCTTGATTCAGTGTGAACGTCCGGATCATTGTTTATCTCCAGTCTCATCCTGAAAGATCTAAAACTACCTTCTATTAAGGAAAGGGATTTGAAAGTCCAAATCATCGACATTTCTCCTTTAGACCAGACAAAATTACTGAAAGCCCATAATACATATCAATTTTAAATTTGTTGCAACAGATTTGCCCATCTATTTACATATTTGGAATATTTTTTTTGCGATGTAATGTCGTATTCAACTGGTATCCGAATTGGGGAAACTTCACTTTGTCACATTTTCACATTTGAGAACAAACAATGATCAGAAAATATTATTTGTATTTATTATAAACAGTAAAATAAATCAACAAAAATCGCAAAAAATCAAGTTATTACATTGAAATCAAATACGATGATTCAATTGAATAGATATGAAAATTCAAAACTTTTATGATGTTTAATTGAGACATTACTCTTGCTGCCTATATAAAAAACACAGCACACTTACAGAAATTTCATTGGGAGGAAGATCCAACTGATATTTGGTATCATTATTACGGTAATGTCAGCCCTCCTCCTTATCTCAGCGGAAACAACATTGAAGTTATCGCAAATGATAACAAATGCTTCACATATATATGTTCATTCTTCAATATTCAACGACCAACAGCTTATTTCACATTTGTTTCAGATTATTTAATTTTACTATGCGAGAGCATTTTTTGCTTTGGTAAAAGTGCAATATACATTGAGAGCAGTAATAAGAATGACATTGTTATTGATAAGTTTTGTTCGTTTGAAGCAAAAAATCCAACGAGTGGTGACTTTAGTTATTTCTATGGCCCCATAATAAGTAAAACCACCCAAGGATCAGTAGCAAATGGAGGAGATAGATCTGCAGACTTTGGTATGATTTGCCAAGAAGAAGGCTTTGCATCTCTTTCAAAAACAAACATTTCAAATTGCATCTCACAACTTACGCCAGGTTTTTATTATTATAAAGTTGAATCAACAACATATGTTTCATTTTGTAATTTTGAAAACTTAAATGCAACGGGGTATTTTATTACTATTTTTAAGAATGGTGATGGAAATATCGAACGGTGCAATTATATAAACAATTCACAAGAAAATTCATACGGAGGACTAGTTTATGTCTCTGAAAAAAAACTTGAGATTTTTGTTTCAGTTTTCCAAAAAAATAGACAGAATTCAGCTGGGTCACTTTTTTACGCAGATGGGGGAGAAATTTATTTATACACATGTGATGTTGATGAGTATTCAGCTGATTCAACATCTAATGGAGCGCTTATGAATATTACTATTGATACAATATATTATTCTAATTATAATCAATTCACTGGCTTAGGTCCATGTGATGGAGGAATTGAGATATTATATGGCCGAATCAAAGAAAAGGAATTATGTTCAATAACAAGTCCTAGAGAATTTCTTTTTGTTAAATATCTTGTATCTTCTTTGTTAAGGCTCCGGTCCCACCCTCTCAATTTTAAAAGTTTTAATATCTCCACCAATATGAGTTTTTGATACTTTTATTTTAGTATATAATATCATTATGTAATACACTATAGTATTGTATATTTAAACTGAATATTACTATTATAGTTCATCTTATCTGAGAATTCGGTATTTTGACAAATTTCAACTTTGACGGGTGAAACTATTTATAATCAAAAAAGCCCACGACATTTTATAGCATATTAGTGATACATTATATTGTTATTAGTAAACTTGATTTTCAATCTCTTCTAGATGAGTTATTTGTTTTTTTGAAAAAATCTGACAAATCACTTTTTGACAGAATCTAAAGATTTTTGATTTGTGAAAGTTTTAATAATATGATAAGGTTTATATATGCTATCATAATATAATAAAATCATATAATATTACATTATCGCTATATATGTCGAATATTAAAAAATTGTATATTAACATTTTTTGTCATATCTTGATAATAAAGAAAAAACTCTCAGTTCCCCTTCGACAAATTGTTAGAATGCAACTAAAGTTTATTTTGACATAGTGAGTTTGCTTCTAAAAAAATATATGAAAGAAGAATTAGATTTGCAAGACCCCTATAAAAAACCATTTTTGCGTCGAGAATAACTTCATGCACGATTAATTGATATGATAATAAAAATCATATATGATAATTACTTAATATAGGCAACAATATTGTATTAATCACTTTTTGTCAAAACGGTTTTTCGATAATTGAGTATTCAATTTTCCAAAAATCCATTCAATAATTTGATTTATAATTCAACGTGTAAGAAAAAACTCTAAGTTCCCCTTCGACAATTTGTAAAGAAAATTATATAGTTTCTATCGACACTATTTGTATATTCTACCTTCTTCGGTATTTCGAAGAATTAGGTTTGCAAATTTGATATTTTTGATGTATTTTTTCAAATTGAGAGGATTTTTGACGATAGAAGTAGGTGTTTTTTGAATTACAATTTTATATTGATGTGCATGATAAAAATTTGAACTTATATTATGGTGACATAGTATAAGTCATAATGTATTAATATACAAAAGATACTATCAAAAAATTCCTTTCCAATATGTATAAACAAATCGATTTTTTAAATTAAATTTAAACCTTAAACTCAATATATTAAAAAGTGACATTATTTTAATTAGAAGTACAAAAATCCATAGTCATAGAATTATCAAATGATTGGAAATTGTTATAATTGGGCGCATTATACTCATTTATGAATTTACTATACTATATACTTTGCAAATTTAAAAATCCAAATTTTCAATTTTTAAAATATCATTATTTATCATATATCAAATAGTAAAGTTAGTATATATCATGTTTAAAACGATAATATAGTCAAATTCGAAAATTTTAAAAATAGATAATATTTAATTTTTATAAATTATTGGTATATGTGCAATATATTGGTATATTTTTACTCCTTATTAGATACTCGTCCTAACTATATGCAGCAATCATGCAGGACCGAAGCCTTAATAAGTAAAATATAAATATTCGGCATTATCATTTTTTTATTATCCGAACTGAGGATATAGTGAAACAGATGGTGTTGATTTTGATGAAATAGCTGCACTTCTTATTTCATTTGGCGCAATTTTCATTATTTGAAATATTAAACTGCAATAACAAAAAATTAAATAAAGAATCTGTAGATGGAATTTGGATCATTGCAGTAGCATTTTTGTACATAAATAAATAAGCATACCGTATATTTAAGATATTTTCATTGCACTGGAGATTCATCGTATATTTGGCCCCAACACAACGAAAACTACATATATCCACCTTTTATCTTTGGATATAAATATTGAAGTTATTATTCATACACGTCTGAAAATATCATAAACATATTAAAGGTGAATATTCTTAATTGTAAAATAAAAGTAAATATTTATTATTTTAGAATTCGATAGGGACAGCACTCGAGAAGTCTCTGAGCTGCTTCAAGAGGTCAGAGTACGAGTCATATGTATCTGCGAATTCACCTTCTGCCTCATTATCCAAAGGTGTCTTGCAGATTGGGCATGCACCATTCTCCAAGAATGTTCGTTCGAAATCAACATCATTAAACATAGAGTTGCAACCTCTGCAAACGTGGACTGACTCAAGAGGAGGATTGAGCATGAATGAGCATGGAACTTTAGAGTTTTCTTTCCACTCGCATGTAACAAATGCAGATGGATCAATGTTCTTCAACTGGTCTGAGTTCAATACTGGTTTCGCATCACCATCAACTGCACGTGCCGGATCAATGACTTCAGAGATATCCATGACATTTCCATCGATTGGAGGATCTTGAGAAATGAGTGTTTTGGCGTCTTTGATTTCGACATCCTTTGTATGGATTGGAACTAAAGGAAGAACTCTGTATGAATAGCATGAGAAAACAATTGGACACTTGCATTCGCTGCACCATAATAAAGGTCCTTCACCTGATGAGAAAAGTCTAGATCCGCATCTTTCGCAGCATTCACCATCATCCTCATCATTCATTCCTGCTGTTCTCAAAATGGCCAAATCAACTGCTTCTTGTACAGCTGGAGGAACAACAAACAAAGAAAGCTGCTCAGCGCACCATCGCATCAATCTGTACTCTCCAACATTGTCTGACTCGTTGAGAAGTGAGAAAAGTGCTTCTGGATATGAAATTCCTGTCAAAAGATCATCGCTGATCTTGTGCAAATACTTTGACTTGAATTCGCCTTTACGGATTGAGTTCATATAAGCAACAACATAACGAGAAAGATAGAATGAAGCACCACGTTCACGAATAGTGAATGGAGATGTAGTGTCTTCACGAAGCTTTCCGAATGCCGAGTAACATCTTGCGAGCTCAAGACCACTCTCAACAATGGCTTGAGCTTCTTCTGCTGTCTCAGAAATTGATGCCAAACCAAGAGATCTGCCGTAAAGGAAGAAAGCGACATCATCGTATTTGTTCATAACCAAAGCGTTTTCTAAAAGCATGTTCAGTGATTTGAGGGCTTCATCGACTCTTCCTGCGATGAAGAATGAAACAAGAGACTCAAAGTATTGATCATCTTCGAATAAATATCTTGCGAAAGGTAAGAAAACTTCAGGAAGTAATGCAGGATGCATCTTTGCCAATGCAAGTGCTTCATTCCAGTCTTTAAGGATAACACGAACTTTGGCAAGTGATGAGACATCATCCAACTGTGCCAATAAGTCTGTAGCTTGTGTTGGCATGTCGTGTTGGATCAATGCTTCAGCGGCGTATTGAAGTGCTGCTGTTTCTGTGTGATCAATAGTTTTAGCGACTTTTGCAAGTTCCTGAATCATGTTTGCTTCATTGAGGATAGTGACTGCTTTAAGGGCTTCACCACCGACAATGTACAATTGTGCGGCGAGTTCTAATTCGTTCATGTCCTCGAATGATTTCGCTTGTTGTAGAGCGAATTTCTTCATGCGGTCGCCAGAAAGGAACTGTGGAAGTTTATCGAATTGTCGCAAGTCAAAGTACATCTGTACGGAACGCTCGTTCTCTCCAAGGTTTCGCCATGTTCGTGCGGCAGAATCGAAGTTATTCGTCCATGCATCAACTTCTGCTGATAAGTGGTCTTGCGTGAATTTTGTGTCTTTCATCAATGTCGCGATCATTTCGATGAAATGCATCAACTGGATGTTCCACGCGTGTGCGGCTGCTTTAACAGCAATGTTGATCTCGCGTTGACGTAATGCACTGTCAGCTAACTCGTTCCATTGTTCCTCTGTGGATCCGAAAACTGCAACTTGATAAGCGTTTTCGAAATCGGAGTTTCTCGCGAGATTCTTCACGGCTGTTGAAAGAGGAACATCGATCTGGTAGATATGGTTGTTCTGGATGGTGGAGACTGTCAATCCTGAGAATCGAACAAGTTCACCAGTGAGTGTAGACTTAATTCTCTGCATTTCGAATGCTTTGATGTAAAGATTCTCGCCATCGCTCATTGCAAGCAAGTCATCTGAAAGATCGTTCCAGCAGGCAGCATCAACACCTTCTTCGATGAATAATAATTTACCTGTCATAAGAGAATAAACGCAGCAACGGCGTTTGTCATCTACAACGGCAACTTTTGTCTTCATCTGTGAGATGGAGATGTTTCTGATCGCTGAATCGTGCTTGAAAGCCTGGTGTGAAAATCTATGATCAACAAAGATTTGGATTACTTGGCCATCTTCAAGACCAATGAGAACACATTCCATTGTTTGGACTGTTGAAGCGATACATGAGGCTGTAATTGGTGATGCGAAGTTGAATTCGCGAATGAAGGAGCCGTGTTGGTTTAAGATCTTTACGGACTTCTCGAATACGAATACTAAAGTATTTGTGAAGTCGTAGAATTGTTTGGAGCCTGGTGCCATGTCGAATTTGTTCTTGCGTTCTAATTTGATCTCTCCATTAACGTCGTCGTAGGAATAAATTGAAACTTCATCGTGGAAAAGTACAGAGACATGAAGTTCGGTGATAGAAATACGTTGAACTGGCTTTACGAATTCGACATCTTCAACGAGATCAGTTCCAAGGATTTGTATACGAATCTTTGTAAGTTCTGTACGGAAAGCGAATGAATTTCTGCAAATAGAGTAAATTGGACGTAAACCGAGTGATAAAACAGAAATTGTACCATTATCTAAACCGAGAGCCATGTAACCTTCTGGAGATGTTGAAATGGACCAAATCCAGTCCTTCACTGATGTAACAACTGAAAGGAGAGTACCATCATCGTTGTATAATGTAACACCACCTGCAATATCAGCGACAATGATGTTAGATTGGAAGTTAATGATTGCAGATGGTTGAGCTGGAAGATCAATTGGTGATTCTAATGTTGATTCACGTGGTTTATGAATTGTAAGACGATTGTCCCAGTCACCGACAATTAAACGCTCGCCAGAATAACAGAGGGCGAAGACTGGAACATTAAGGTGATGAGTGTAGAATTCTTGTGCGTTCTCTGAGTTACGAACAGAGACTGTACCGTTGTGAAGACCAATTGCGAAAGATTTGCCATCGGGAGCCCATGCACCGCAAAGAATCTTTACTTGTACGTCAACAGGAGTAACCTGCTGAATGTTCTCGTGCCAGATTGAAAATTCTGTACCAGCACAAGCGAGAAGATGAGGTGAAACAGGGCTGAATGTAATTGTTGATGCTGCTCCTGTAACAACGAATCTTACTTTACCTTTGTTTGTTTTTGAATCCCAGACGATAACTGTATCATCGCAACCAGCAGTTGCAAATAAAGGATCATGATGAGATACTGCAATTGCGTAAATAGCTTTTTTATGTTTCTTTACATCACTAATAAGTGTACCATCTTTTAATGAATAAACAAGAAGATGGCCGACATTAGCAACAAGAAGTTCTTTTGCATCTGGTTTAATTGCGCAAGCATATACAGGTGTTGGATTTCCATGGTATGTTTCCTGGAGTTTCCATTTTTCAGTCACTTGCATATTTTATAACGGAACAATAACACGATTATTTTCAATTCAATTTGGTTATTTTCACGCAGAAAATTGATTCATTTATTATTAAACTTGAATTTGTTATACCTGATGTTTACTGGTTCTATTTACTGAAAATTATTAATAAATAAAGCAAAAGCATCAAATTGGATTAATTTGCATTCAAAAACAGCAATATTGCTGCATTTACAACGGATATTAGAAGAGTTACACAAGAATATTATCTTCGCGCTCCTTTGAATAAACAAGATTGATGAGTGACGTGATGAAAACCTTCTTAGAGTCATGGAGGTTCAATTGAGTTTGGATCCAAGTACATTGAAAAAATTATTGATATGAATGCATATCATCAACTACTGTTATCATAGGATTTTAATCAATACAATTGCTCCAAGTTTGAGCCCTTTTTTATATTCAATCCAAATCAGATCTTTAAAATCGACAATTATAACATCCAGAAAAAGATAGTCACATCAAAACTTGACAACGCGTGCTTTAATCTTAAATTAAACCATATTTTTAATAATATTTTTTATTCCTGCAATAACGGTTGCAAAATATTTATGTTTTTAGACCAAGTATAATATTGTATGCTTATACGCAAAGCAAAAAGACTTCAATCAAAAATTTTTGCTTCAATGAAAAATGCCTATTTAGCTTTAAGATAAAATTAGTAAGTACATATTATGTAATGTTCAAATTTGCTTATTGGCCCACTTGCAGGCTTCATTTGCCAACCACTTGTCGGTTACTATAGTGATGCTCTCCATGCTAAAATCGGCAGAAGAAGACCATTCATTATTGCAGGCGCAATTGGTTCAATCATTGGCTTCCTCTTCCTTTACTTCTGCAGAGAGATCGGAAAGGGCATCAGCAGCTCAAACCCACGCCCATGGAGTATCACCTTCCTTATCATTGCTCTTATTCTTGATTTTACTTCTGTAAATCTTCTCCAAGCTCCAGCAAGAACAATCATTGCAGACCTTATCCCAAAGTCACAGCAAGTACTTGGTAACTCAATTGCCGCTGTTCTTCTTGGTCTTGCTCAAGTTTTCTCAAACTTCATTGGTGGTTTCAATGTTGCCAAATATACATCCCTCAACTATCAGCAACTTGTTATCATCTGCGGTATTGTTTTCATCATTGTCAGTGTTACAATCACAGTTTTAACAGCTCATGAAGAACAATTTACTGACAAGATTGATAGACCAAATCCATTTATTGCAATCTTCAAGCAGTTCAAGACAATGCTAAAGCCAGTTTGGAGAATCGCCATTGTTTACCTCTTCTCATGGATGGGATACACTGAGTTCAACAACGAATGCTCAAGCTACGTCGGAACAGATATCTACAAGCTCCAGGGACTTGATTATGATGAAGGTGTTCGTTTCGGCCTTATCATCATTGGTGTTTCCTCAATCCTTGTTATGATTTGGTCCTTTATTCAGGATATGGTTATCAAATTAATCAGTCTCAAGCTTTCATATGCCCTCTCTCAGATTATCGAAGCTGTTTGCCTCATTCCAATCTTTTTCATCCACAACAAATGGGCAGCTCTTGGTCTTCTTACTCCCCTCGGCATTGCTTGCTCCGTTTTCAACTCTGTTCCATATGCTATTGTTGGCATGTGCTCAAAGGATGAGGAAATGGGTACACTTATGGGCATCCTCAACATTTTCGTTGTTGTTGGCCAACAACTTGCTAACTGAATCATTGGTTCAGGCATTGGCGCTGCCACAAATGGCAAGAAAGGCCCTCTTCTTGGATCTGGATGCGTTTTCGCATTCATCGCCGCTATTCTTTGCTTCTGGATCATTGTTCCTGAGCAGAAGCCAGAATCTCTCGATTTCGATGATGATAGAGAAGATATCTCTGCAGAAGCCGAAAAACCATAAAACAGACATCATATCATTTGGGATGTCAATTTGAAAAGGCAAAATCAGGAGATTTTGTCTCTTTCTTGTAAACACTTTAATTTTAAAAATCTTAGGTAACTATTTTTAATGAAAATAGTATAATGGCAAAGCAAAATCTTAATAAATATGTGGGTATTAGTTATTTCAGTAATATTAGGGAAGTAATTCGACTTTGTAATCAAAACTTAACAAATACATCGAACAAATTGAAATTTCAAAACATTAAAAAATTGCAAAAGCTTAATGTTAAGATCAATCTTTTTATATAAGTGAGAAACAACAAAGAAATATCTTATTTTAAAAAGAATGTTCTGTAAAAAAGTAATAATTTTCAAAATGATTTTTTAGAAATAACAATAAAATCAAGGAACAAACAAATAAAAAGTAGGGAAATAAGTATCTGCCATTCCTTTAACGGATGTACTGCTGCATTATTTCCTTTAATATGTCATTCTTCGTTGGAATCTTTGTTTGTTGAATTGGTTGGTTTCTTGATGCAGAGTATCTTTCCATTAGGCTGTCAAGATTATCTTTAACACGTGTGTTCATTGTCTTGCCTGCCATAAGTTTTCGCTTGAGCAATAAAAAATGAAATGTAAAAGCATTTGTGTGAACACAATTTTCAAAGGATGAATAATTTTATAGTTTTTTAAAGGAAAAAGGCATATAATCTATATTAGAAATGATTACTGGTGACTTGACAGATGACAAAGATTTAATTATTTTGAAATTTTGTAATACATTGAAAAATGAAGATCTAATTCAATTCATGATGATATTGCCGATCGAGTAAAAACTTTGTAAATACTATTTTCGAATATCATAGAACAATATTTCATCAAAGAGACAATCATTGTAGATTTTCAATTCAATTTGTAATTGAGATGTATTTTAGCGAATGCTTGAAATTTAAGAAATTAATATACAATCAAAAGTTCTATAAGATTCTTCAATATTTCATAAATCATGAATAAAATTATTTTTATAAAAATCATTATAAATTTTGGATTATTACAGTATTATTGTTGCAAAATTTGATCATAAATAAAATCGTTTTAAATTACTTCTTCATTTAAATTATAACAATTATTTTTGGTTTTATATTTTTTTGGATCAAATCCATTTTAATAGAATTTATATACTATTCATCTATTAGTAAACACTACCGTATATTATTTTTTAAGCTATCTTATTTTTTGAACTTTTATTCAAACCTTTGGTCGCAAGAAGAATTGCATGATAAATAAAAACATTTCATCAAAGTCAATTTTATTTTTCATATTCAAATGGACTGAGTGTTAACATTTAACATTTTTTGCTAATTGTCGTCAAAAATTAGGCGTAAAGCAAAAATTGATATTTCATATGGTTTTATGATAGATAAGCATTATATTCCCACTCATTATATTCGTAAATTTTGAGGTTTATCCTTCGCTTTTAAGATCATTGAATTTGATTTTTATATAAAATAGTTATATATTAGAAAATAATATGAGTTTATGTGATATTATTTTTCAGAAGATTTTGTGTTCTTCTTCAAAATTTTATTTTTTTATTAAAAAGAATCTTTACAAAATATACATTTACTTTAATTAATATTTAAAAACGTGCTCTATCAAAAGTTCCAAAAATTCAATATTTTAGCTTTTCTGAGGTGTCACTTTTGATGAATTTCTGTTTACAACAATACAATACTTATATATTTTCAATAATGGAATTTGAAAACCATTCTCAAAAGTTCTCAGAAAACCTTTTTTCATTAATTTTAAGAAATCTGAGTATTAAATTAAGTGATAAATTCGTTTGACACTACTTTAATTTTTAAATTCAAAAAATTATATGTGCTTCTTAAAATGACTCAAAAAAATTTTATTATAAAATAATATATAATATTAAAAATCCCACAACATTTTTTACTTTACATAATCGTACTTCCTCGACGATTAATTTCCACTCAATTTCTATCGTTGACCGAACTTAGCATGCAACATTATAATAAGAGCAGTTAATAATAATATTTAGTTAAGGATGTCAATTCGGAAAATTGTTTTCGTTTTAGGAGAATATAATTTTCCTTTTGGAAAATTTAAAAAGTGAGACGCGCAGGATTCGAACTTTTTTAAAAGTTGATTTAAATATATTCTAGTGTGGAATCTAAGAATAATATCATATTTAAAATAAGAATTTACGAGTTTAGGTAGTATTATTTTTTTCGATAAATTTGAGAGTATGTACGTTCAGGGCATCAAAAGTGTCAATTCGCGCAGCGAAAGCTGAGCTAGCTTCGTTCTCGAAAAAATAGGGAAGAAGTGAAGGAGAGTGATACAGATGTTGACACATTCATATAATTTCAACAAATTTGATCAAATTGAAATTCAATGAAATTCAATTCACTTCATATCCTTCAGTCAGTACATTGACATCCTTCTACATCACAATGATAACTCGGGAATCAATAGTTCTACAACTAACTCAGAAAAAAAAACAAGATTTTTACTTCCAGCTTGCAGCTTTTAAAAAGTTTCGATGATAAAAATCACTCTACTCTTGTTTATAGATATGTGATGATAGTAGGTAAACATATTCTTATCGATTTTAATAAAAATATTTTTACGAAAATCTGAACCAATTACAGAGTTATTCATAAAGTTTATGATAACTGTAATTATTTCATCTTTGTTTTATATTTGAATAAACAATTTAATTTAAATTGCATAATATTTTTTGGTTGAAAGACAGGAAACTTAGTTGAGTTTGTATTATTTTTATCGTTTAATTCATCGTATCAGTGAGTGATCCAGATATTTAAGATATTTAGAAAAAAATTATTAATTTGATTAACAAATTTTAATCAAAATAGCAAAAATCTATTTGATAGCTGTAAACAAACAATAATTTTTATTTCAAGCAAAATCACTTATTTTCATCTAAACGTATAAAATTGTCAATTTTATAAAAATAAATTGAAAATCTCAAGAAATGTAAAGGAGAGTAATATTTTTCAATTTTCTTTTTTTCTTTGTCTCAAATATTTTCTGTTGGGAATTTTCTTGTTATCAAAAAATAATTTTAATATTTGTTTATTTTATTACATACAATAAAATTTTAAAAACTCTATTTCTTCTCAAGAAAATTTTTTCCTTCATATGAAGAAACATTTTGTTCTCCATTTGATACTGAGTCTAAATCTCGATTTTTGAATTTTCTTCTTTCCAAATTTCTTTTTTCCAAATTAGAAGTTTAATTCAAATTTTCAATAGTTTATATATTTTCTCAAACCGTCTCAGATTTTCTCACTTTTTAGGGATTTTCTCTCAAAATATACAAAAATAGTAATATCAATACATGTGTCTAATATATTTTAAAACCATCGTGACAAAATTCAAAAACGAAGAGTTCTTCTCTCCAAATTTTTTTCAAAATCAAAAAAATGAGATAAAAAAGTACGTTTGGAAAATTCATTTTTAGCATTTTAGTAATTTTCTCACTTTTCTTCCAAATTGACATCCTTAATTTAGTCATAAAATTATGCGATCTAGATGCTTTTTTATATTACAATTTTCAATAACGAAACATGTCATTGATTTTTATCGATTGTTCATTCATAAATGAGTAGAAATGGACAAATAATGTATTAATTTCAAATATAAGTTAATAAGATTTGTTCGTAATAAAATTTGCCATAATCTATTGATTCAATTTGATATTGAGCTTAGACAATTATAAAACATATAATAATTATACATAATAAAATATTTATGATAACTTGAAATGCAAATATACAAGCAAATATTTCAAATTCATTCATTTCACATAAAATAAACTTCTGAATATCAAAACATTAATAATATTACTATTATTTTATCATGGTATGATCATTCCACATCATTACAAAGTTAAATTCAATGTTTATCAAAATTATTAATTTCGATTCTTTGAATTCCTTCATAATTATAATAAAATAAATGGTTTGTATTATGATAAAAGATATATTTATTTAAAAAACAAAAAATTACTGAACAATTTTAGATAATTGTTCAAGAAGTGCTTTTGCAGAAGCATCTGGATCTTCTTCTGCTTTTGCTTCCTTTGGCTTATCAACATTTTTCAAGAAGATCGATGGATGATGTTCTTGAACGTATTGCTTTGGAGTTTCTTCTGCGTTGATTGTTTTCCATCTTAAAGCATCACTTGAGGCGATACGAGACACTTTAGATATTTGTATATCTGAATCAAATGAAATCAATGGGTATTTGACTAATAAAAATTCTGATTCGCATTCTGGACCTAATGCAGCTATATCTGAAGGTGCAACAGAAAGTAATGTTCTCATAACATTGCCGTTATTCCTTCGTTGATCGTCTATTTCGCATATTAAACCACCATCGTACCAAACTAAGTTTAATTTTCTTAATTCTTCAAACATTCTTGGCGGCAAGTATCCACGTGATATGAAATCTAAAATATGGGCTCCTTCGTCTTCAAAACTCTCAGTTACATCGATACCTGGGTTGGTTGTGAAAAATGAGAAAGTTTTTGGACGAAGAATGAGATGTAATGATACACTAAATGTAGAATATGCATTTTCAGGAAGGACATCGAAGTTTGTTGATGATTTTCCGAAAACTTTTGATTGGAAAAGAGATCTGTGTCTAATTTTATCACAAATTTCCGATCTAAGTTGTGAAAGAGTTGATTTTGGTGTATCGTTAATAAAATATTTAATATTCGCATAGTATTGATCTAATAATGTTGCATCTGAGCCATTTAGAGCGGGAGGAAGGTCACCATTTACTTTCATTTCAGTTGTAGTTTCAAATGTCTGTACTCCATCATCTAACATATTAGTAGGAGCTGCAAAAGTTACTCGACTTCCTTCCATATATAATTTTTTTTTCAACTATAAAAAAAATTTAATTGTTTTTAATTCAAATTTATTAGAAGAGCAAAAAGTGACAACAATGTCTATAAAGGATCCACATATTGAATACGAAATTAATACAGCAGCGCTTCAACTTTTGAAATCAACTGAGCCTGAAATTGCTAATAAATTTGAAGCAGCTGCTTTTCCTTCAGAACAAGCGAGAGAAAATGCGGAAATGACGTTAGACGGCGTTGGAAGCGACTATATTATCAATTTGCTGAAGAAGAAAGCTCCACTAACAACATTTCCATCAATTATTTATAATTCGTTGAAATTCAAAACCGAAAATACTCAAAATTACGCAAAAGATGCAGAAATTTATATCAAAAGACTGAAAGAATTAAAAATTACAGCAAGGATACTTGGACATACACGCTCAATTCGAAGTATGAGCACTGATCCAACTGGACAAATCTTGATCAGTGGTTCACAAGATACAAACATCAAAGCATGGCATGTTCCATCACTTTCTTTGATGAAATCGTTCAAAGGACATGATGAACCAGTCTTACAAACAGAAATTTCTCCAGATAGGCGATTAGTTGCAAGTATTGCAGAAGATTCTACTCTTAGATTATGGAGTTTAGAAACTGGTGCAGCAATATACATGTATTATATGCCAGATGCAAAACAAATTAATGAAATTTCATTTTCACCACTCAATGACTTAATAGCTCTCGGATCTGAAAACGGAATTATGCGAATTCTTAAAATAACCGACTTACCGAAAGAAATTTCTAATCAAGATAAGTTATTTGATCAATTTCTTGATTTAGTTCAAATTCCCGACGTTTTTCCACAAACAGAAGACTTCATTGAATTTTCCAACTACAATCCCATGGACTACATCAAGAGTTCCCTTGAAATTGTTCTCGAGAAAAACTACAAATCTCCAATTACAGCAATTTCCTTCTCCCACGGAGGCTATTTGGTGGCCTCCTCCCTCGAGAATGGCGAGATCTTCATAACGTCCGTAGACAATGAGCACCAATGGCGCTTCAAAGCCCATGAAGCCGGTGCAAACGGTTTAATTTGGTTCAAAAACTCTCCGTTTACACTTTTAACTTGGTCACAGAAGGGCGGAGAGATCAAGCTATGGAATCTCAATGATACTATCGAGCCATTGGTCAGTTACTCCGTTGGCGGAATTCCAAGAAGATTACATTTCGCCGAAGTCCAAGTTTCATGTGACGAAACGTTCTTATTTGCAATCACGGCCAATACCTCCTATGCATGGTGTATCTCAGATCCTCGTCCTATCTATACTTTTGACGCATCAAAAGAAAATTTCGTTTCCATTTCCCCACATCCCATTGTTCCTACGATCATTGCATTTGTTTCCCGTGCATCTGTATTCGTATGCGATCTAACACAGCCAGAGCCACTGAACAAACTTGAAATTCCATACGATGCACCACGAAATCAGTTCGTTGCATGGCATCCCAGCGGATTAAAGTTGTTCAGTGGTGATACTGGTGGCGGCATCGATGTTTTCATCGTTGCAAAGAACCCAGAATGCCACCAATTCCAAGAATATTTCCCAACAGATTTCACAGCATCGGAATGGGTACCAGAAGTCGGCCAAATAGAAGACACAACACGTAAACCAACACATTTGTCACCAACAAATGTATTAATTGACGGTACAAAAGCTGTAATTAATGACAAATACGCTCCGGTAGAACTAGAATCGCTCAAAGCTCACGCAGTTATACCATCACACGTTATACATAGCCGTGCAATGGAAAGATCGTGGGCAATGGGCAATCCAGAGCTTAAAATCGACAGTTACCACAAAAGTCGTGGTCCAAATTTACGCTGCAAGACTGTCAAACAGAAAAATCCAAATTCTCTTTTAAGGTCAGCATCGCAGAACTTGAAGCAAGCAATACAAGCAGCCGTTGCAGCTGTTAACCCTCCTCCACCACCTCCACCTGAAAAGGACGATTCTTCTTCATCGGATTCAGATGATGAACCAACATTCCACAGAGGAAGAGGAAGGCCAAGGGGATCGAAATCAAGAGGAGGAAGAGGAAGGGGAAGACCGTCGAAATCAACCTTGCTCAGAGATGATGTCTCTTATACATCTAGTTCTAAAAATAGAGATCCTTCGTCAGAAGAAGCTGTTTCTACAGATACAGAATAAAATTTTATGTTATATTTTTTTTACTAATAAAAATCTCTTTTTTATTATTATTAATCTCTTATATGGTGATACTCTCTCTTTTATATCCTCACCTTTCTGACACTCTTCTGAGAACTGAGGCTAAAACGCTTTGCAGATAAGAATGTTAAATAGTTGCAAATATATAATTCATTAGCTTGAAGGACAAGCAAGGACCTTCAAGAAGTCCAGCGCCATAAGCACATTTGACATTTTTGTGTCAGAAATGTGAACTTTTATGGAAGCTGGTATATTCAAGCCTACCAGATTTGCCAAATTTTGAAGGGAAAAAACCGAAATTATAGGAGGCAGATTTTTTTATAGGAACAAACGACATACTTTACAACAATTAAGAATACACAATCTAATAGCAAGTTTGTACTTACTACACACATATTAATCCTAATCCTATATTATTAATCAAGACAAGAAAATTAGGAATAAGGAAACAATAGCGCTATAACTTCTTTCGCATTTATTATTTTCTCATGACATTACTAATATTTATACGACTGTTTGGAAACAATAACTATTATGGTTCATTCTTCATCGAATTTACAAAAATATTTAATAAATTTTAGATGTTTTGTTATTATTTTTTAAAAATTATAGTTTCATAAGGATAAAAACGAATTTTATTGGTTTTAATTATTAAAAATAATTATTCATTTTTTAGATGCTCATTGATAAGTTCAGCAGCACCTTTGTTGATGAAATTTGCTAGCATATATGGAGTATGACCACGTTTTGAAGTAAGATTAGCCTTTGCACCGTGATCAAAGAGAATCTTGATAATTCCCGTCAATCCTTGAGAAGCAGCATAGAATATAGCTGTTTCTCCAGCATTATCCAAAATATTGACATCAGCGCCATGGCCAAGAAGCTTTTCTACGATGATAGGATTATTATTTTCAGAAGCATACATAAGAGGTGTTTTCCCTGCTGCATCCTTTGAGTTTACATCAATGCCATCTTTAATCAGTTGGTCAATCTTCGCAACGAAGCCTTTCTTCACAGCAATATGCAAAAATGTCATTTCAGACTTTTCATGTCTGATTTTAATATCAAGACCATTATCAACAAGAAGTTTCCAAAGCTTTTCATCGTGGTCTTCAATCGCAAGAATGGCATTTTCAAAAAAGTGTGTAATTTTGAAGCCGTATTGATTTAATATGATTGCAATATCAGTCTTTCTTGAGGTTATTGCATAATCCATTATTTCATCCTTGTTTTCTATTGAAAATTCACTTTCCAAAATAAATTTAATATAAATTGGAATATCTTGTGTAATAATACTTTTAAGCAATCTTTCATCTAATGTAGTCAATGATTTTATGTAGTTAATTGTGAATTCAATGTTTCCGGGGATGATTTCATACATATTGCGATTGAAATCGATTTCAACATCATTATTGTTAGAAATCCATTCGTAAATTTCATTTCTATTCCATGTAATCGCTGTCGATGCATATTGGGCAGCTGAAAATCCTGATTGTGTCAAAATTTGAATTATTTCAAGAGAACCGCCTCTAATTGCAGCTGCCATTGTTGATTTGTCTGGCTGACAACCTTCTGATAATAAGTATTTGAACATTTTAACAGCGCCGGCTTCTGCAGCTAAATGTAGATAAGAAACAGACGTATAGCGATAATGAACTTCTGCTTCTGCTATATTTGTAGTAGATGATTGCTCAACAAGGAAACCAATGTTGTCTTCATTAAAATATCTTGAGATTTTAATATTTTCTTCATTCAGGCCGGAAAATGGTAATTCAATGTTATGTTTCTTCGTAAATTCATCAAACAACGTGAGTTTAACTGCACTCATACTATTACATATTCTAAAAATTTGATGTTCGATAAAATCTTTGTATTTTTCGTAGAATCTGTCTAAAGTTGCTAAAGTTTCTGCGAAATTATTGGGACATATCTTGCATATGATTGCTTGTATCTCAATAAGATCATTTATTTCAGCTAAAGTTGCTTCCGAAACAGGCATTTTTTATGATTTTTTTTTATTTTGGTATTTTATTTTTGTGGACGTTTATCAATTTTGGTATTTTTTTATAATGACTTAATACTTTGGGGAATTATTGTGCATGCTCAAGTTATCCAATAATATGTTTCAAGAGTTAAATTTCTGGTATTTTTTTTATTAAAAATTGTGATTGCTGCATTAGAGATTGTTAAATATTTTTTTCTCATACACAAATAGATGAGGTGTTATTTTATTGAGATATTGAAAATAAAAAATCAATGCGATGATAGTAGTAGTATATGACGGGTTTTGTGACTTTTTTTGTTACATCTATATATAGACGATACATTAAAATATATTTATTTATAAATCATTTAAAAAATTAACATTAATTTTAAAATAATTTATTTTTTCATCTTTTATAAAAGAAGCTATATATAGATGATGTCAGATATTCCGCGATTAATTAAACATTGTTTAAATCCTGAATGGGTTAAACTTCAATTTAAAAATGAAGATTGTGAATTATTAAATGAGTATGAAAGCCAAAATAAGCTAATGAGGTATAAATATAATGATAAAGAATATTTAATTTCATGGAATCAATGGAGTCATAATCAAAGACCTCATAAACGAGAAGAAGAAATTGAAAATAATGAAATGGAAATCATTGATGACATTAAAGAGGATGGAATTCCTAAATTTTGTAGAAAAACCTTTAGAACTAAGTTAGGAGCATATAAACGTAGAGTATTAAATCCTGAATACATAAAACATTTATTTAAAAAGGAAGACTGTGAATTATTAAACGCTAATGAATATGAAAATGCTAAATCAAAACTGAGATATAAATATATTGGAAGTGATGAAAGGTGTAAAGATAAAGATAAAGTTTATTCAGTTTCATATAATAACTGGCACACGTTAGGGATAAGAAAACATTTAGGAGATTATGGGAAATGTTCTGAATTCTTTAAATCTAGTATATACGAGAGAGTAAAAGAAATTAGAAATAATTATTTTCATGAATGAAAAATAAACTTTAAAAATTCATGTCTTACATTTTTGAATGATTTATTTTTATTTTTAATGAAATGAGCGTCAAAACTAACAATGTTAAAAATTTAGGATTCACAAACGAGGAAATAAAGGATATATTAGAGGAGGCGGGTTATGAGGTTGATAAATATTATTTAAGAAATTGTAAAAAATTCGCGGAGTTTTTAAATGAATTTGATTATGATGGAAAAATGAATAAAGATGATGTTATAAATTTCTTATATCCCACATCTAAAGAAGAAAAACCTAAAGAACCTGATGTTTTCCCTGAATATTATGAAGAACGAATTAAAGATGATGAATATGATGAAATTGAAAGACTGGAAAAAATAAGAGATGAAATAGATGAAAAAATTAAGGAATTAAGAGAAGTTGAAAAATATAATGAAAATGAAGTAGAGGGTTTAATGAATATCCCAGCTTCAGAATCAGAAGTTCAGAAATCTCATGAAGAAAGATATAAAAATTATGTCTCAGAATCAACACAAAATTTATTAGATGGTGAAATAGACGAAACACTTTCAGAAGAAGGTACTAAATTTATTCGTAAACATAAGCTTCAGTTTATTGACGATGGAGATTATCCATGTATATTACTTTCACCTCCTCTTGATTCTGAAAAATTCAAAAAAGCACTGAAAAATGTAACATATGCAACAAATACGATTAAGAAAGAAGACCATGATATTTACACAAATTATTATTTAAATAAATGTACAGGTGTTGATAAAGTTTTTGATTTGTTAGATAAAATATCAAAAGAAACAATTGGTACATATAAAATTTTATGCGATTGTGGTTTCATTATTGAAGATACCAATAATGTTTCATATGAAAGAACAGCACCGAAGGAAGACGAAGTGGAAAGGTCTATACCATTCGTTATTAAGAACATAAAAGATATGAAAACTTATAAACATTATATTTATTCATTTATTTCAGAAAAAATGGAAGCAACTCATAAAACATCTTCTCATCATTTTATAGCTATTCATACATTCCTTTTCAAAGTTGTGAAATTAAATAAGACAGGAATTAGATTTAATGTATCAGGGTACGCATTCTTGAGTAAATTAAAATGTATTCGTCACGTCGCAGATGATAAAAATTTATGTGTTCTTAATTCATTTTATGGGCTTTAAAAAATAAACTTTATTTTTATTTTTTTAATTTTTATTCTTACATAAATGAATAAAAATGGAACAGCTAAAATGAATGATAATCAAATAAGAGCCGAAGGTAGAAGGTTATTTAAACGCTTCTATAACATTCCTGATGGTGTTAATCCTAAAACTCGTAGAAGCTATTTAAATGAAGCAATAGATGCATATGAAGGGTTTGACATTTCATCAGAAAGTGAGAGATTAGCGAGAATGTTAAATGTTAATATTGATTTCTATTATTGTGATCCTCAACCAGAAGACGTGGACATAAATAAGGTAGACTTTCCATTAGTGGAATCAATAATGATAGATCCAGAATTTGAAACAGTAAATATTTTATTAACACAGAGTCCATGTGGAAAACTTCACGCTGACAGAATAACAGACGTTGAAGCACTCACCGGCTATAAAGTTTGTCCATATTGTAAAGAAGAAGTTTATTCTATCCGTGATGATCCAGAAAGGAAAAACCAAAGAAGATTTTTAAAGCATTGTGAGAAATGTAAAGAAAATAATGGAAGATTAATTCAAGACGTTCAGTTGCAAAAGACACAGCAACCATATGCACCACATATTACGAAACAGAAGATATATCAGTGGTTATTAGCTCATAATTTGCAGGAATATTATCAACCGACAAGATATTATATTACTTTTGACTTCGAAACATTAGAGACTAAAGAAGAATTACAACTTTCTGAGTGTGCAACTTTGAATGCTTACTTAAAACCATTCATGGTATCATCAACGGTTAAATTAAACGATAAAACATATACGAGGAATTTTTGCTTAACTTCGAGTGATTCTTTTATTTCTGATTGGATTGAGTTTTTATTTTCAACCTGTTCATTAGTTGTTGAATCAAATATGAGTCAATACAATGAATTAATGAAGCCGCAAACGGACTCTTTGAGTCCTGAAGGTCTTTCAGACCAAACGGCAGGGACTTTGTCTCATACATTAAATGAAAAACAGAAGGAAGCATTTAAAGAACTTCTAGATGAGGAATTTAATAAAGTGAATATCATAGGTTTTAATTCGGGGAAGTTTGATTTAAATTTAATTCTTCGTGATTTAAACACTGCAAAATGGAAAATAAAATCAATGCTGGGTTCATCTTCACAATTTAAGCAAATCATTGTAAAGAAAACAAACGTTCCATATGAATTGAGATTTATTGACATCAGAAATTATATAGCGGGTGGGACATTAGACCAATTCACTCAAGATTTCGGAAACAATAAATCACGTGTTAAATCCTTTTTCCCTTATCAATTCATCACGTGGGAAAATTACGAAGAAGAATTATATAAAGTGGAACCATTCACTCAAGATTCATTTTATTCAGCATTAACCCAAGAAACTATATCAGATAGTGATTATCAAATATATCTCAATGATGCTAAAAATTTTGAGAATAGATTAGAATATTTTATTCATTATTGCAATAAAGATGTTGAAATTATGATTGACCCAATTGATAAAATTATTGAAGAAACATTTGTTTATAAAATTGATATGCTTCATAATCTTTCTTTATCATCGAATGCATCAATGATTCGTTACGCGTTAGCATATAAAGACTTTAATCCTAATGAAAAATATCCTGAGGAAGCGATAGAATCAAGTTTTGAATTAACGAAAAAGTATTGGAAATATAAAATTGAATCATATAAGAAACAAGATGAAAAAGCAGAAAGGGATACTAAAAACAATGTTTCAATGGATGACTATCAATACTATCACGATTTAATCCTTTCATCTAAATGCAAAATGTGTGGTAAAGCGTTTACATATGCAAATAAACCAACATTGGATAGAATCGATAATGAAAAACCACATACCAAAGAAAATTGTCAGTTAATGTGTTGTTATTGCAATGTCGTGAAATCAAATAAAGATGAAGATGTTCAACGTTTAAGAATCAATTTAAGAAATTACGCATTAAAAAATAATTTACCAATGACTTTAGATTCAGTTGAAGCTTATCACATTCTCCGTAATGGAATTACTGGTGGTTTATCAAATGTTCAACATAGAGTAAATCTTAAAGGAATCACACACATTAATAAACTTTCATATAATCCAGAAACTAAAACTGTATCAAATGAGGACACCACCAACATTATGACTCATTTCGTTGGTGTTGATTTTAATTCATTATATCCTTCATCATTTTCATCTAATCCTCATGATTTCATTCAATATACTGACCATAAAATGTATATGCCGGGAAGATTGAATGGTGTTATCATTTGTGATACAGCAACAAAGAAAGCAAAAGCACTGGGAATAATTAAGAAGAAAAATACTTTATTCGTGGCTGAAGTAAAGGGTCACATTGATGAAAAATACATTAATGATTACATAAACTTTTTACCGATAATAAGAAACTTAGATATTATCACAGATGAAAAAACAATTGGTAGTTTTATGTATAATTACATGAAATCAAACAATTTACCAGTTGACCAGAAACAAAGAAAATTAACTCAGCTAGCATCAACATACAACCAATATCAACCATTTTCTTCTTATTATCTTTGGTATCTAATCGACAGATTTCATTTTATCATCGATGATATTCAATCAATTTTAACATTTACTAAAAACACTTGTTTTAATGAATTTGCGAATGAATTTATGAACGAAAGACAAAAGGCTGAATTAGAAGGAAATAAAGGAAAAAGTTTATTTTGCAAGATTTCGCTTAATGGATCATATGGTTACGATGCAATGAATACACAAAATTACACAAAGACTAAAATAATGAATGCACAGAAGGCACGCGTTGCATGT